ATGACAAAAAATTAGATGTACAAAATAAAAGGAAAAAAAAAAGATTTTTTAAACAGACAAACAATATGCTATAGAAAGGCTTTTGAATTAAATGTACTGGAGTCTGCAACCTCATTATCACAAACATTGCAACTTCCCTGCTAAGAGATACCAAATTCTACACACTGTAACAAGACATACGTAATGGCCGGAAGTAATAATTAGTTCCAGTGGGATTTGTTCTAATGGATTCAATATCCCTTGCATGCAGGTCCAGTTGCTACTGCAAGGATGGCAGCCCCCCAAGCACACTTAATAGTAGTGGAGAGCACAGGAGAGATGACTGGTTTTGAGTCCTCTCACTGTCCAAGCGGTCAGGCCAACATGAACCTAGTCACTGCAGTACTTGCTTCATGTGCCAGCACTGCTGATAGGTACCATGCTTAAACATGCATGGAAACGTTCATCTCCCTCTTCTAAGTGGGGAAAAAATGTGAGAGGCTGATTCCACAGGCATCGTTACTTGCAAAAAGACCTTGTTAGAGAAAAATTGAAACAGCAATCAGTTGGCTCCTACAATTTCCGTTACATCCCTTGAGCAAGTCCAATTGCTCTTAAAATACAATTTTTGGAGCTGTTGGGAGCACAGTGTACTCTTGCTATGGCTGTAAGCATCCTCAGGTGTGCTTGCTGCTAAAATAAGTTGCTTAACACTATACTAGGGAACTTGATGTGCAGTGTGGTGTCCTGGAAGGCTCCCTTCAGCCACACCTGCGCCCACGGTGCCATACTTAGTTCTGAATGCAACAAATTCCAGTTCCAGTAAGCTCTGGATGCCCAGTGAAAAGATGATCATTGATCTACATGCTGAAAATGTGTAATTCTAGACTGTTCATGCAGTTGTCAGGGCTCTTTTAACATTACAGAGTCATCACTGCATTGACAGGATTAAACATGGGCAGAGGGTGGGGAACGGGAGGACTGCAGTTTAAGTCTGAAAGTGAGATACACATTCTGTCACTGAAGGTACCTCTGGAATTTAAGTAGATAGTAAAGATATATCTTGAAATTTGTTCAGGATATTGGGAGTAAACAAGCTCACACTTTACAATCGGTGCTAAGGCATTACAAATCACTGGGACTCCAGTTACATAACCTCAACCAAAGAACAAGCCTACAGCGCAAGAGTGTAGTTATTCCAGACAGACTTTTAATATCATCGTACATTAAACCAACCATATGTGCTTACCTGTTAGAAAATAACAAAGTCCCTGCATAATAAAGAATATTTCTACCAATGACAAACTGTCTGAATTCCTAAAAGGAAAGAAAGCAAAATCAACTCCGTATCTATATTTGCATTTGCACTCCCAAGTAACTGTGAACTGGTCAGACTGGGCCCTAAGGACTGTAACTGTACTACAGTCATGGCACACGTGTGGAACTGTGCTGGTGAATGTTAAGAATTAAAGTTGCTGTTCTTCAGTACTGTTACTGTACCTTTAAACATTTTTTTAAATCTTTTTAAAATTATACAATATTAGAAAATTCAAAGTGGTTTGAAACATCTCTCTTATTTCTCTTAGATTTCACAGGCCATAGAAATTTTCTTCTGAGAAGAATCTGTCTTTACTTTTTGATATTGCTGCTGAACTCACATCAGGGAATATATAAGTCTTTCCCTAAAGTTCAGTTCAGGCTACCTTGATGTTTATGTGGAAGAAGGACTCTGCAGCTGAAGTCTGCAGCACTTATGGACAGAAAGCAGCACCAGAGCTGTACTCTGCTCTGAAGTCAGAAGAGAGATGGCCTGTGGAGTGGGATGATCTGCTGAAAAAGACTGAAGTAAAGCTACCTGGAAGAACTACTACTCTCCTTCAACATTTGTTTTAAACTGTTTTGCAGTCTATCTTGGAAGAGGAGATGTTGTGCATGTACAGGCTTTACCATTCCAAGGCCTCTGACATAAATGGACATGACACACTGTCATTCAGTATTATGTTGACAAGACATTTTGAACTTACCACAATTAGTTTGTAAAACACTTAAGTTCATGATCTAAAAACTAATTTAATGTATTATAATTTCATTCTTTTTTTATATAATGTCTAACAGAATCACAGCTGCAAGCATTTTTGATTCCTGTTACTTTTGTTCTTTAATTAAATGACTACTTATTGCAGGAAATGAACATGGTTCCTAAAGCTCTTTTTTTCCCCAGGGACAGCTTTGAAGGGAGGAGATCACTGTTATTATACACCAGATCATATTGCTTTTTTATCACAACAGAATCTTTACAAGACGATGATATTAAACTGAGGTTTTCTATCTTCTGGTATATTGGTGTTTTGGACCAGATCCTGACCAGCAGAATATGATTGTCATTCTACACTAGTTAAGGTTCTGGTCCTCTAAAGAATGACAGTTAAGGTCACTGTTATTCAAAGTCAGTAAACTGGACAAGCATAGATAGATACATAACGATGTGCTCTGATGTTTGGCAAACAAATCTTATGCTTTCTTGACAGTAAGAAAAAGGTCACTAGATATGAATAAGAAAGCTAGCAGAACTGTTTGAGGGTGAAAGTAAAGCCAGACATTCCATTAATACTCAACACCTTGGAGCATCTGAGAATTCTACTCAAAATATTACTAAAAGAAAAAGCTTAGGGGAAAAAAAAAAAAAGGGCTAGCTGGAAAGCATGCCTGCTGAGACAGCAACAAAATGGCACATCCATGCATAGGACAAAAAATTTCTCTGCAAGAGTCTTAAATTACATCCTTATAGGAAGTTGCTTAGTATTAAAGACTTGAAGAAGGTGCTCTTGATCTTGTAGCTTCATTGAGATGATCTCCATAAAGCATGAAAATAACAGAAAACATGCAATGTAAAATTGTTTGTACAAACTACTCCTAAATCACTGTGAGGTGAATGAATCAGTGCAAACAGTGGATGCACTAACTTTCCATTCTCTTCTGCCACTCAGTGTTGGGATGGAGTAAGGTAAATACAGAGCTCATCTTTGGCTAAACTAAAATTTAAGAATAGAAGGTAAGTACATACAGTGCAACACTTACAATGTAAGTCAGAAACAGAAGAACCCTGAGAGGTGTGGTTCCCAGGCCCAATGAAGCTCACTGGCTTTGCTGTAGCTACCTGCAGCTTTGTACAACCTTTTATGTTTGACTTATGTGACTACCAGCTGAAGACCTGAATTACTCAAAGATTCTTTTTTCCTATTTATTGCAATTTTGTAACTTGCTGGCTTTTCACAAGTTCATGTAACACTGTAACTAATAACATACTGTTATTTAGATTGATCAATAATTTTATTATTAATACTATTCATTCTATGCAACAACATAGTGATAGTCCAGGTGTAATATACAAAAAGGGTAAACAGAAAGGATAGAAAAGTTTCTTCAGCAGAATGACCACTTAGTTTGAGAACAGGAGATGACCTGCTGTTAACTACAGCCTTGGCTAACAATCCATGAAAGTAACACTCCCGTTTAGCAGTGATGTGCGCTTTCACTGGTAATAAAAACACTCCATAAAACTCACTAAAGGGATGTTGAAAAATATGATAAAGATTTTTAGGGTAACTCAGAGCAGCTTTAGAAATGTCTAACAGTGGCTATGGTATTACTAACGTGACTTAACCATCTTGTAATTATGCAGCAAGCAGCTTTACTTCTTCTCCAGGTTCTCAGCTGTCCTTCCACCACCAGCATCCCAGGCTTCAGTCTGGTAAGAGCCAGCAGGTTGTGACTACTGTGGAGTCACAGGGGTCACACTCAGCTTGTTGCTGGCAGCTCTGTTGTTTGGAGACCACATGCAAAAAAACAACAAAAAAACATTTCCCAATGCTGAATGCTGCCTTTGTGAATGCTCCCTTGTGACACTGCTTAAATTTGCTTGTACCTGCTTGAAGCTTTTAGAAGGTAACAGGGCTGGGTCAACAGTGACAGGACAGTAAACTTTCATAGCTGTATTTTATCACAGGTCCTCACTAAAATTAGCAGTTGTTTTACTTTTTCCAATATGCATTCACTATGAGAAGAGAACTCAGGCCTTGCAGTGTACTTTTTAAAACCTTGTACAGTTAGAAGAAAAAAAATACTGTCTCATACACTTATAAATTCAGGTAGACCAGGAACAAAAAGTTTACCATCTCACGAGGTCCATCTAGTGGAAATAGCAGTGATCACAGGGTAAAAATATAATGAACCCCCACGCAAAAGCCAGAAGCTCAAATCAGAAAAGTTATCAAGTACATTTAGGTAGATGGGATGAGTGGAAAAAAATTATTTACTGACAACCTCCATACAATAATTTCCAGAGACAACACAGCCTTGTATTTTTTATATAGGGAATATATTTCATTTACAGCTATTTCTGTAATAAACCATCTCCTCATCACTGAAGACTAACACTGACTCTGCATTCTACTTTCAGTGCACATTGGTTTGCAGCAGTAAGATGTATTTGACTGATGTTCAAATATGTATTACTGATTTAAAGCAAAACAGAAATGACATCTTGCAAAATAAAAGACAATATACATTTTTCTTGAAATATTTAATTCAACTATTTGCAACACAGCTCAAGCACAAGCGTTCAGATTTTGTTTTCTCTTAGAAACTCCTACTGAAGTCTACAGGCACAGGCAAACAGGACTGAGATCAACACAGGCAATTTGATCCTCAGATAAATTCTGACTGTATTCTGGATCAGACAAAAGTGGTATTTTGTACACACAGACCCAAAACAGAGATTCAAAGTGAAATTCAAAGGGATTTCTCTGAAAGGTAGTTAAATAACCTATCAAAATTGTTAAGACTTCTTAAAAAACAGCATATGCTAAAAATCTAAGAATTTACATACTGCATTTTATCAGATTCTGTAAAATAATTTCAAATCTCACATATAAAAGAAGTCTTATCCACAAAGATTTGAATATTATAAGGAAAATACACTTTCATTACAGCAGCTCCCTTGAGAGTAAAAAACAAAAGTTGTCAAATTTTACATTGTAAAAGAGCATTTATATTCACCTTGAATTTCAGGAAGGTATCTGATAATATTACTGCAGAATTCTGTCTTCTGATTGAAACAATGTCTGCAATCCTCTGCGAACATTACACAGCTCCTCTTCTTGCTGCATAAAACGCATTACATTTATCACAACGTATTCTAATTCGGGTGTATAGCATGTGCTGCTTTCAACATATCAAATATGATATTTTTCTTTTCCATGTCAATGTTCAATATATTAAGACTCAGAATTAAAACAGTCTGTCTGAATCTACCTGCTGCTTTCATCCCCCAGGTAAGGTTTCAACTATAACATGTTTGTGACACTTGGATTCTGACTCTTTTTTTTTTAGATATAGGACTAGAAATTGCAATTTTTAATAATTCACTATTCAAACAGCTATACTTAAACAATGAATAAAAATTAAGACAACATAACTTCATTTACCATTTCTTTCAGAAGCTTCTCTTGCAATCCTTTTAATTCTTCTTTCATCAGATGCATCTATAAAAAGATACTGAATGTATCTTCTGTGTTCACAACTGGTAACCCGTTTCAAAAAGACGACTCCCTAAATAGTTTCTCACAGAGATACAGATGCATATGCATCCACCTTCTGAATGAAAGGGAGCCGTGTTTTGTATGTGTTCTTTCTTGGATGATTAACACTGGTAAACAGAGCCACAGAACACATACACCTTGCACCAGTTTTGCAGATAATTGCATAGACCTTCTAACACATGAAATCTAGGCCTAAAACACTGAATATTGTTATGTTAAAGGACATTTGTTGACAATGAAAAGGTATAAAGACTTTCTTTGAGAAAAATAGTCAATGCTGTATCCATTGGCAAAATTTAAGAATTGTTAAGAACAAGAAAGAAATAAAAGTTCATCATACCTCTGAAGTAAAAACATGTTCTTCATAGTCACCAGTATGGCAGACGTTCTTTTCAAATGAACTTTTAAGAATCTGAATTCTAGAGAAATAAAAGGCAGTTCAAACAGCTTAACTACGTACGAACTTTCCACACCTACCACAACTACATGCCATTATTTGTAGTCTATTTATAAAAAAATAGCATAAATAGCATAAAAAAATACCATCATTGTTACTACCGGAATAGCCCCTCAAGTATGTGGAAGAATTTACATGGAGAATAATTACATTTTTCCTGTAACATAACATTTTAATCCAATTTTCTCATCTCATCTGCTATGTCTATTCTATGGAAGAGAGAAACTGCACAGAGTTGGCCTAACTTACACTTCAAACAAACATAACACAAATCTGATCCCAGGAGTAGTGAAGCCTACTAACCTCTGCTGCTCATTTTTCATGTATGTACTGAAAGTATGTGTGTGTTTTTTCCAAAAGGTCTGGAAAGAAAAATATTAATAGATGACAATCAGTGGGAACTCATATTTTGTGACCTAAAATTAATACCTTCTATGAATAAATCACAGACTTAGCACAGAATGGGTAGGAGCTAACACAGTCACCACAGATTCATGGGTGGAGGAGGAGAAGCTTAGCTGGCAGGATGAGGCACTTCAGGAATTCCATTTTCATAGAACCAACTTAAGCAAAAATCTGTTCTGCTTACCAATTTCAAAACAATGAAAAAGAACATGCATAGCATTTTAATCAGGCCTTCCATATAATTCAAGTCATGCCTTCAGAGCAAAACAAAAAGCAAATGTAGTCTTGTGTTGACATGAATATTTGTATATTGATTTTTACACTACAGCAAGTAGCAGGAACAATGTCAAGAGCACACAGCAAATCAGGTTTAAACGCCTACATGCTGTTCCTGAACAAAGTGCTCCCGAAGTGGGGTAAACAGCCCATTGAAACTGGTTGGGGTAGTTTGTTCTAGGAAGAAAACCACAGAGTGGTGATCTAGAAATTCTAAGAGCAATGCATTAGCCAATGCAAACACCTCAAACCCATTATCTGAAATGGGACCCAACTTTAAGCAAAATGATAAAGGCTTTTTAAATCAAAACTAATGATCTCAAGTTAAAGCTGACATGAACAACCTATGGACTCCGTAAGAATTCCCTTTTCTCCATGATCAAGCAATTAAAATACAAACCAAGAATTCTTTTTCCATGTTTTTCAGGGACTGAGAATCATTTTCAAAATTCTCAAGTTGCTCAAGGAGAGAAGAACGGAATTCCTCCAGCTGCCTGCTCCTACCAAAACAAAACCAGCTGCTTTCAGGATGTATTCACTGCACTTCAAGCATGTTTTAAAACAAATCTTTGGTTACAGACCTGCATTCACGAAGCTGGAAACTCATGGCTGACAAATGTTCATGGGCAGCTCGTAGCGACTGTTTAGTAAAATTATCCATTTTCCTGGAGCGGCTCTATGGGGATGTTTTTACACTAAATTCAGATTAGTTTCACTTCAGAAAAAAAAAAAACAAACCAAAAAAACCAACCCTGAAGCATGTTTAGTACTGTAATTGCTCAGTATCACAGATCATACTGAGCAAAATCCCCCTTTTTTATCATCTCCCTGTCTTTGAAGGAAAAGCTTTCCATTATGAAATGTAAGATAGCTTTACATTTTTTAATAAAACTACCTAATTTTAATGTACTTAAATAGAAGTACATTATGTACATATACAGAATTAAATAATATACTTAATTAGAAGTACATTGTTTGAAAAACACATTTTTCAAACTAGAATAAGTACACATGGCATGAGTGATGTGTGCGTGTAGCTGTCCATGATTAACAAATACATTATTCAGGCTCATGTTTTCCTTTTTGCAAAGGAACTTCATTCATGGCTTTCATAATTAAAAAAAAAAAAAAATCAAAATGCAGTATGATCACTCCTTTAAATACATACACTTGTTTTGAAACTACACACATGATAAAAAACAAAGCGGACCCGGAAAGAAAATCGTTGGAAAGTCACATACATAAAGGAACTGAAAAAGGCATAAAAGGAAAGTTGGAATTTTATGATTTCCTGAAGTTCTATGCACATAGCTGTTTTCATGACCTTTTAAGCAAATGCTGTAGTGTACTACAAGCTATCATTTATATGCGCATGTACTCAGACAACTAATATTGTATATGAAATATCTTGCCTCAAATTTCTTAGTAAATTCTTTTTGGAGCTTCTGACAGATACTGATAGTTGAACAACCAGGCTCCCAGATTTCCCCATCCAAACCAGACAGATCATTTGCAGATACAGGAGATATGCTTTCAGACACTGAAGTAAAAACAAGATAATGTTACAATTCAGAAAGAAGTATCCTATCTGAAGTTACAAAAGGGCCTATAACAGCTTTTATTATATACAGATATCTGAAATGGCTCAGATATTAAATGGCTGAGACCAGTTTCTGTTTTCATGTAAATTTTTTTTAATGGATATAGGCTCTAAATATTTAGATTTTTTTTAATTTCTTTTTTTAAGCACATAAAAGGTTTTTGAATGGATACTCTCTTTTATTGTTAGAACTTTGTTATTTTAAACTTCTGCACAAGCACAGCTTTCACTCTGTAACTAGCCTCTGTAAGTAGCAGCACTCTCTGTTTTAAATATTTCTCTAGGCTGTAACTTTGTTCTTCTCTTTCCTTTCTTTTCCTTCTCTTTGCTTGTTTCTGCTTCATCAGAATTGCTTTCTGCATCACTGTGGTACCTTCGTTTGAGAAATGGCTGTATAGTTGGTCCTTTAATAAACATGAAAACAAAGCTGCTTATTAGGATTATTGAGAATAATCACGTGGGAGGATAAAGGAGTGCCAAACTTTAGGAATATCTGGCTTTAAAGCTCGAGAATTATATAAAAATTAATTAACATTACCTTCATGGAGTAATCCTTCATTCAGTGATAGGAGAACTTGATGTCAATGAACAGCACGATTTCAAGGAACACAGAACTCTTTGACTCATTCAGGACTTGTTCATTAAAGAGATTCATGCTAAGCTCTCTTTTCCTGATACCACTTAGCCCCACTTTTCTTCCAGTATCAAAAGAAATCTTAATCTGTATCTTAAGAGCACAACTAACTCTTTACAGTAACTGCATTTTGGAGCCCAATTTTTATTTTTTCTTGAATGGGATAATTAAAACAATGCAGAAAATGAAAAAGAGAGCAGACATGGGACAATACTGAAAATATGTAAAAGAAAACATAATTTAAGAACTGGAGTCATATTTTTATGACAAATGAACATTTTTCTTAACCTCCACAGACACATGTAGAAAGTCTTCTGCTTAAAATGAAATGTCTGTACCTGACTCATGCATGGGGGCATAAGGTTCTTCACTCCAAGACTGCACTTTACTTCCACTGGAAGCAGATGATGGAGTTGGTGCTACACAATCCTGAAAGAAAAGTCACTGATTAACTTCCAAACTCAAGCACCTTCAGAAACCTACATTTGTGTTGCTTTTCATTATACCAGGCACATGAACACACTACAGTTTGGATGAAGAAAAAAGAATCACTGCATGAATTGCTACTAAGTTGCACTAGATGAAAGTATAAACAACTTCACCACACTGATCATTAATGATAGCAGTACCTCAAGTGACCAATAAGGTCTAACTGTTTCCTGCAATAGACCTCAAACAGAAGAATTTTGTAAAGAAGTCATTAGTGCTTTTTTCACCAGAAGAAGTACTCAGAAGCAGTGGTCTGAAGGCATACAGCAGTTTCAGTTTATATGCCAATGCCACAATAGTTATTATATTGAGCAGTACACTAATGCTAAAACTGTAAGAGCACTTTCCCACCTCAAGAATTTTTCTATACATATGTCACAATTCTTTAATTTGTGAAAAACTGTTTCTTTTCTATTGAAAATCCAGAGGAAAATATTTACTTCCAGTTGTTTAAGACACTAATTATCACTGAACTTCTTCCTTTGTATCCAAGTGACAAACAATTCCCTAACTTATCTCAAATGTTTAAACAATAACTAGTAAGATTTTCCAAGAAGGTCACAAGTAAACACTATATATGGTGTTTAACATTAAGAAAGATGCATTACCCTTAAACATCCCCATGTGTAAAGTAGATAAAATAGAGGAATAATGGCTGCTCATTTCTGGAGCGCAAAGGCTTTAGTAACATACCTCCTCTCTACTTTTGGTGGTAGGTTTAGTCGTATCACGTAGTTTTCCTTTAATAGAACATGTGTCCAAAAAGCAATGTCTGAAACTTGAATCTTCATTATTATCATGTGTTTTGCATGCAGATCCCTTTGCAAGTTTTCCATTGACAGCTTTGTATGTTGGTAAGCTGTGCTACACATTAACAAAACATAATAATTGAGAGGAGATGTACAAAAAGCATAAAGCAGTTGGCAGCTGAATGGAATAATTTTCAGTTAAAGTAACTGTAGAGTAATTTCAATATTCTTACCAAAGATGCTTCACTTAAAGCTGGTGAGAAACTTATATTTCCAAATGTTAACTTTTTAGCAGGCAACTCAGGGGACTGATTTAGACACAGACTTTGAAAGTTCTTTTTCTGGGGATGAAAATCACTGGGAGAGATTCCTTTCTCAAAGTTCAACATTTCTGCTTTTTCTGGTGTTGACTCCTGAAGACCAAGTGATCCTTCACTGCCAGTATGTTCTTGAGTAACATCTCCCGATATTCTTTCAGTACCTAGAAAACAGTTACTTAACTGTCAGCACAAGGAATGAAAGTTGAAAAAGGTAAGTTAAAGCTCCATATTGCTAACTGCTGCGACTCTAGGTATTTGCCCATCTTAGATCTGTGGAATTTCACTTCAAGTGTTGGCATACAGCTTCCCACACTTCCACTTTTTGCACTCCCTGCACTATTTTAGCAGTTACCACATTCATTGTAACACTTCTGTATTGCACTTCTATACTATGCCGACGTCAAATAACTGCACCAAACTATAAAAGTGTTAGTGACATGTTAATACACTTCCTTAAATTATGTGCTACACACTGAATTAGGGGATATCTTTAAAAGATGAAATAAATGTAAAATTGTACTACTATGATAATCCTCATTTAAGCTTCAACTTTTGATACAGTGGTGCTATAAAGTAAAAATACCCACATGTCATGATCTCAAGAGACGCAGGACTCTCAAGTGAGGGAATTTCAATTTTCTTTTCTTCTGCAAAGTTCTTTGATTCAGTAAATGCTTTGGGTACATAGTTTGCTACTCTCTTTGGCTCCATAGGTGAAATATTCTGGAGTTCCTTTTGCTGATTATCATCCCCGTTTTCTCCATGCATACGTTTCTATTACAATACAAAGTTTATATACACATTATTTGTAAACATATGGAAAATACAAACACAGAGGTAAAGAGCATATTATCTATATGTAATGTTGAACAAGCCGAAGGTCCAAAAGAAACCTCATTAGAAGTGCATAAATTCATATCAGGTGTTCTAATACCAGTAAATATTGAATCTGTTTAATTCAGGAACCAAATTTCTATTCTTATGAACTTCTTCACTATTGGAAACAATTACTGATGCTTCAGGATCTAATCAATAAAGTCTGCAGACATATCCATATACAGGAAAATGCTATGCTAAAAGAATGCAAACAGTTTTAGCAGCCAGTGTCACCGCTAATTTACTAGAAATCCTGTTTGGGTATTCAGTAAATATACTAACATACCCCTGTCAAGTCAGTCTTTTTATTTTACACAGAACAGGTTTAGAATTATCCGTATCACACTCCAGAAAAGAGCAAACTGGCTCCATAGAACTCGTTATGTTTTTGAAATAAAGAACACAGTAGTACTTTGCAGCAGAATAAATTTCATGAATGGAAACTGAAACCCTATTATGACTGAAAGATTATTTAGGACTGATTTTCTTAGCAGCTAAACACTCATTGTTAAAAAGGGCACTACTAGAGATAAAGTTCATTTCAAGTTGCTCATGTTGGGCACTCAAAATTCAGGAGCACTAAGTACAAACTAGACCACAAAAAAAAAAAAAAAAGGTCAGAATCGGATTTTTAAGAATAAAGTACAACTCCATACCTGTATTTTTGATTTCTGTGCCCTAGAGATGCATGCTGAAGACTCCCTTTCACTCTCTGACTCTGAACTGGAAGGCTCTTTGTAGTTTTTTGCTAATGCTGCTCTTCGAGGCCATTTTTGTCTGGTCATTTGTTTTATTGGTTCATCAGTTCTTGAATTCTGTTTTTTACATCTACTCATCTTTAGAAGAATAAGAATAACTTCAACTTACATCAGCATAATTAACAAATATGTAAGAATAAATGGCAGGTAACTTGGTTTCATTATTTGAAATCCATTATTTCAAAACAACTAAAAATCGTAACTTTACTAAGTCTTGGAGAGTCCAACCATCAATCTACTAAGTATTTTAGGCAGATAATTTACACTGTAGATCAGGCAGAGTCCAGTCAGGAATGTAAGAGTCAAAAAAGAGTCAAAATAAATGCCATTTTTGAACTACAGCAAAGCTGCAGTGGGTTTCCAAAGGTGCCTCTCTGAAATACACATGCATTTAAATGAGACTAACTAGTTTGAAGTAGAACAAAGCCAAAAGCCTGCACACTGAGCAGGAACCAGCATCCTTGATCATTACGTCTGAACTGATCACCTTAACCACCAGACTAGAATCAGTCTTCCTTTTCTTATCTGTCTCCCTTCTGCTTCATTACTACTGCCACTCTACACAGCAGGCAATGTTCAGAAATAGAGCAAAGCAATGTTCTCACTGAAAGTACCCCAGGGATCTGACATTAGAAGGGATGAAAACATGTAAGTGCAACACCTGTGACTAGAAGAGATTAGAACTCTGGCCTTCTGCTCTCTTGGAAAGTGCTCTACACAAAATGTATGCTGGGAACAGCTTCCTCATTTCTAGGGTCAAATCTATTAGTGACTTTAGATGCTCTCCACCTAAATCTATGGAGTAGTGGAACCCTGCCTCCTCAAAGAAGGCACTTCGAACTTGCTTGGGTAGATCAGGGGCATTTTGTTACTAAAAAAGCGCACATTAGTAAGCAGATTCAACACTGAGCAACTGACCGCTTTTCAGGGTATTATATGAATGATTATTATGCGATTATTATATCATAATGAATTATTATATGAATACTATATACTCAAGAGTAGATGGCTATTAAGCAGTAAATAGACATCATCAGTAATTTTATGTAGTAGAACTTAAAAAAGAATCAATGTATTAGTCATTCTAACTTATAGCCAGTGTTATGCCTGAAATACTAGCTAGATATTACAGAAAAAGAATATAGTACCTGAAAATAATAAACTGTATTCAACAAGAGACCTTGAAATAAGCAAGAAGAAATGGCATATATTTATGAAAAAATATTCTAAAACACTTTATGTAGCGAGTTAAAACATTTGTAATATGTATTACAAGTCTAGTTGCAAATTTACATTTACCTTTTTCTTATTTGCATTTTTGCCCTTAGGTTTATCCACGTGGCAAACAGGTTCAGGCAATTTCTCTGCTGTTACAATGCATAAAGTTAGAAAGATCAGCAAAATATTCAAACGTTTGACATCCAGAGTTTTAGCTGTAGAGCCACAGAATCACTTTTACATCCACAAAACTTACTAGCTCAGTACACTGCTTTCAACACATTATTTTCAAAAGCCAAAGGGTTTTTTTTTTGCACACAACTACCTCTGCCTGTCCCATTTTCCATGTTAAAATCCAGACTTTTTAGAAATTCACCTCTGTAAATTATTAGAGCTAATCTAAACATTCCTTACGATTGTAAATAAGACAAAAAACCCTTATCTGTATATCAGAGCACATTACATGCTGTGCAATTAACGTCTATGAACAAACTCACTGCAGCATTCGTAAGAAATATAGAAAAAGTTTCTCACTTTTGTCTGTGTTTATGGGTTTCCCTAAGTGCTTATTTCTGCTGTAATCAATTAACTGGGCTTTAGGTTTTCTATTTGATTCTCGTAGCCAACTAATGTCTGTCTTGCAGTCATCACCTCCGGTTTCTGCGTCTGTGTCACTGAAGAGATGCTTCTTGTTTTTATTGTTTGTAATCTGCAAGACAAAACATCTTTTTCATTTATCCATTTACTTTTCATATGCCTTTCACTTACATAATTGGCATGAAAAGGCAGGCAGACAAGGTATTCTGAGCCACAAAAATAAAAGCCTTACTTGTTTTCTTTGTTTCACTTCAGTGCTAGTCTTACCATCATCTGCATTCCTTAATGAGAAAAATAAGACACACCTTTAAATGATACATTTACAAATACTTGTTCTACGTGTTTCTACTGTTCATGTGATACGTTGATTAAGGATTCGAATAAATGCACCTGCTTTTTGTTTTTACATTGATTTCGGAAATACCTGCTCACCTCAAACCGGAAAGGATGCTTATTTGCTAATGATCCATGAGAACATACAGTAAGGATATGCCTCTTTGCAGGCCAATCATAAAAACCTCCCCCCTCTAATCAAGAGTTTCTATCCCTGTAGTATTCTATGAAGAGAACTGGAGCTGTTTTCTTCATGAAACACGTTCTTTCTTTTTAGTCAGCTTCCCAGAGGAAAATCATGAGGCCACAGCAGCTATGTTTATTGCTTGAAAACTAATACAGTCAAGCTATTACTGTCATGCATACATTCCCTGGATTTTCATAACAGAATGCTGCTGAATGCAAACAGTACTATTCCTGATAATCAGTAGACTAGACAAAATAGCACATCCCTACCCTTTTTTGTTTGAATCTGTATGAGCGCTCACTTCAGTAACATGCAATTCTTTCATCTGAAAATGTAAATAAATAAGAAACAAGTGGAGATTTTCATTTATGCAATTTTAACAAAACTAAAAAGTCCACCCCAGTAAAAGCTACAAGGTTTTTTTATCTGCTTGCTTTTTATACTCAGCAACTAACTTGTGATGATTAATTTCTGTCTTTGAAATCATTTAAGAACAGAACCAAGTGGCAATGACTGAAGTTTTCACTGTCTCAAACTAATAAATGAGTTCCCATTCACTTGCTTTGCTACTTTCACCATTCCAGCAGGTTCCTGCGAGCCGTAAGGAGCAAAACTATCTTTCCTTGTCTTTTGCTTCTATCTTAGCTCCATTCCCTTTTCACTCAAACATCTGGGCAAAGATGTCTTTACAATGGGGATCAGAAGGATGGCAATAACACTTTCAGGGTAACAGGATAATTGAAAAATAATGATACTCCTAAGAGTTTGATTCTTAATGCAGGAAAACACTGTTATAGCTTTAAGTGTAAGATATTTACACAGCAAACATTTTCCCCCACTTAGTTCAGTGATATGATTTGAATTTTTAGATGTTAACAATACTTTCAGTTGCCTGAGTTCCTTTATATTCTATTCATATCAGTTTCAGTTATATTCTTACTCCAAGCTTTATTGTAGGCTCATCAAACCCACTGATGTTAAAGTTGTAGACATCATCCCTGTCAAAGAGACACAGAGATCAGTTTTGTGACTGAATTGTGAACTTTCCACAAAGTTGAGTACCTGCAAATTTTGTTTGAAAATGTTTTAGCTACTTACACAATAGGACCAGCTGTTATATTAAGAAAAGCAGAGTTTTTCAGCTTTCTATCCTGAACTTCATCCTATATATAAAGAAAAAGTTAACTCCTATGCCATATATGGACTATGGTTTCATGTACAGTCACCTCACAAAGTTCTTCATCCATAACATATGAAAAACCTCAGACCCTCACTTGATTAGCAGCAGTACAACGAGGCAAAAGGGGACAAGGGCTAACAGAAATTAATCTTTTAGAATTTAACTTTTAAGGATATCAACAAACCCTCAGAACCATCCCCCCACTCCCCTCCCTCCCCCCCCCATTATCCTAATTTCTGTTCTGGCTATATCTCATTCAAGGATTCTGTAATATCATTTATGACAATACTTTTATTCTAAATATTTAGCATTGCCATATTCAAAGTGAACAGATTCAGTTCTATAATATGTAAACAGAAATTACTTTGGGTTTCAGTGGCTAACAGCTGTCTGTAAAAATATTATTCCACATAAGTAAATAAATAAAAAGTATATTAAGTATATACAGTCAATGCATAATGAACATCTATAGATATTTAACATTCAGAGGTATTTGTGAACTTTTGGTTTACATCTACTACTATCACCCTAGGTACATATATCAGATATGAAAAATATTTCCAACAAAAGCAATGTATTACCTTAAAGATACAGGATTTATTTAAATGTGGCCTAAAAAGTAAGGACACATTTTGTTGAATGACAATTAGAATATATGCATTTAGAATACTGCTTATATATAATAAAAGCCTTATCAAACACAACAAATTTATTCAGGCATTTAAATACAAACCTAAGTGGATTAAGAGAGACCAGACCCTTTCTTTTCTGTGCTCTAAAAAAAACTGATTCCAGCTCATACAGCTATACTGAAAGTTCTGCATGGCTTCCAAGTTGCTATCCAAACCATTTAAAAAGTGACAGAGCCTCACTGTTCCAGTCCTTCATCACTCAGTTACAAACGGGTAATGGGTTAAAACTTGAACAGGGGAAGTTTAGATTGGATATAAGGAAGAAGCTCTTTACTGTAATGGTGGTGAGGCACTGGAATGGGCTGCCCAGGGAAGCTGTGAACGCTCCATCCCTGGCGGTGTTCAAGGCCAGGCTGGACAGAGCCTTGGGTGACATGGTTTAGTGTGAGATGTCCCTGCCCATGGCAGAGGGTTTGAACTAGATGATCTTAAGGTCCTTTCCAACCTTAACTATTCATGATTCTATGATTCTAATCAAACATGGGGAGCATGTAATTACATGCAGAGTGTATTTCCAAACATCAGTTCTAGCAAGGAAAGACTGATTTTCTTATTTAAGAATTTGTTAAATTTAAACTAACAGTCAACTGTTAGTTTCAGGGCAACTAGGAGTTTTAGATGATCAGAAGGTTGATGACTGAATCCAAGTTTGACCCCCAAACTATGATGATGGAACGGAGACAGCCATGTGCAGTGCCCATGAACCATACCTGCTGATTTCTCTTCACTTAACATGTTATGAATGAATGAGCAACAAACCACTGAACAGTTTCTAACAGCCTTTTAGTTATTTCAGCTACTGGAACTGTATGACTACTAGATTCCTACTCCTCAGTGTAACAGTGTTTATCAGAAATGAATAAATGATTCATATGAAAGCAGGATGTGAAACAACTGTAGACAGAGGAGTAGATCACAGATAAAACCATAGGCACAAGAAGAACAAGCACGAAAGTAAATTAATAGTTCCCATCATACCTGTTACAACCCAAGGAGTCTCTTGCTTTGCTTTTCTCATCTGTCTTTACTTTATATCGGTCACTGATTTTACTAATTAGTGATTTTGCAGCATCTGTCATTTCTTTAGACTTTGTTTTCTACAAAAATAGAATTTAAGAGTCAACTTTGAACCCATTTAACAGAAGGACAAAGTTAAAAACAGAACTACAGATTCCCAGCAGTCACCTCAACTTTCCTAAATGCCTTCAAGATGTACTATCAATCCTTCAAAAACTATTTTCCCTTGCATTACTCAAACAGTGAGTAATGAAACATTGGTTTAGCAGAACTCTTCCATGTTGTGGGTTTGGGTACTGTAACATTCAAAAGTAAACAAAAAAGTACATGAGAAGCACAAGTCGGTGCTCAGTTAAGAATTATTTTGTAAAAAGATGATCACTAAAAATAAATTCAGAGTAAACTAATCTTACACAGGTCACACTGAAAAAGCAGAGTGAAGCTGATGGTATTTAATGCACTTGGTATTAGTGAAAAATCAATTAAAAATAAGTTTGTGACTAAATGAAGGTAAAACCAAATTCTGAAACACTGAAAATTTGATAATTCTCTTAACTGCAAGTCAAAAAAAAAATGAAGGTAAGAAGCTCCCACCGTGTTTGATGCTTTTGGATTTGCAGTCTCTTTTCTAAAGGGAACATCAGATTCCTCCTTTGTAAAACCAGAATGCAAAGATGTTTCAGACACTCTAGCTGAAAGAAATGTTTTAAATGATATTTCAGTAGTAGTTTTTTCCCTTCTGTACTTGAGTTTCTCTTCCAAATGACTAATTACTAAATATTTTGCTGTTTTCTTCCAATATGATATAAACTAAATTTTCTTGGTTTTCTTCTCTTTTTTATAATTTCTTTATCTTGAGATACTTAAAAAAAAAACAAACACCAAAAAATGCTTTTTATTTCATAGCTCATTCACTAACAACAGAAACTAATACAAGATCAAAATAAAAAGCACAGCTGTAGGTCCAAATTTCATCTAAAACACTTTAATGCTAATGGTTAACAAAGTGTGAACATAAACTGGATGGGACATACGTTCCAATGATTGATTCAGCTTCTGCTTGCCACCCATTGTTATATTCTTCTCAGGAACAGAGCATGCTCTTTTTTTCCATGTTTTGCTTTTATCAAAAGAACTCTCTAAAACACAAGGAAGCCTAACAAAAGTAATAACATGTTATTATCAGTGAACTGCAGAAAGTGAGTCTTTATTATAACAAACATGCATCAAAAATAGGAAAACAGTGCTATCTTGTAGCTATCAATGCATTTTAGAGCAATACCTAAGCTTGCTAGCACTGTTCAAGTAGCCAACACCTTGTAAAGTGGCAAATCTTCGGAAAGAAGATGTATTTTTAAGTCAACTTCAAAAAGGCAACAACATCCTACAGCCACCATTAAACCTTGAACCTAGGTAGATATGATGTGTCAAATTTACTACTTTTTATGGCACATTTCACTTACATAAACCCATGTGTCACTTGTATTTCACCTTCTGATGTCATCTAAATTACTCTCCTACCACTAAGGCTTACTTAAACTCCTACTCTAGACTGTGTTAGTGAGTAGTATTTTCATCAACAGATTCACCCATTCTTTTGATTAAGACAGACTAGTACCATTCATGAAGCAGTCATGTCCCTTCAAGGTGAGGGACAACAGTGACTTGACATTCTTTTCCAATACTTACAAAGGTTTGTTGCTTCTCCCTACTGGCTGAGAATCAGGAACAATATCTAACACTTCATCTAAATGAGACATTAATCGGGTATCAATTATTACAAAGGAAATGGACAAAATTAAAATCATTTTTAAAAGGTTTAAATTTTAAAGTAAAGACTATCAACACCTGGATAATTACTTGCCTAAGGTTTGCTTTTGTGTGGCCCCAACTTTTGCCTCTTGCACCATTTCTAAAACTTCTTTAGCACACGTTTGCTACAGTGGGATTAATACACAAAAGAAAATATTAGTGTAGAACTAGAGGCAGTAGAATCTCATGAACTTTCATTTTCCCTAATAAAGTATGAAATTATTTTTCATGTCAGACAAGTGCTGATTCAAGTACCTTTTCAGGGGGTTTTGACTCATTTCTCATACTTGATTTCCTGATTTTCTGTTCTGTTTCACTAGACAAGTTCTGTGTACGTGGCTGCTCACTCTGGAAAGCACAAGTAGTAACAGTAAACAACTACAATCCATAAACACAAAAGAAGGAAAATTCTCATAGAAAGTAGCACTTGAAATATTCTAAACCACACATTTTATATGTTAAAGTGTTTTTCTATAGCAAAAAATGCTTCAGAATCCTACAGTCTGGGACTGGATCTGAATTTCATCCAGAAAGATATTTAGAGGCAGGAATAAAATAAAGATGATACTTTGTAGTCTTTGTTCAACTGGAACACAAGCAAAAAAACATATACCCAAACTGCAGTTCTGTGACACCTATGTATTTTTGTTTGATCTTAGTGAATGCCTAATAAAAAAATGTACTAAACCTAATACGATAAATACTGTAACCTGAAGGCATTAATATGTCACAGCTACAACTGAATGTATGCTTTTAGGGGTATTTCAACACTGCATAATTAATTTGGGATTCTGTGCATACTCCATTTTCATATTATATACAAAGGAAAAATTGTGGCCTAATAAATGCAATTAACTCTGGGGTCAGAACTAAGGAGTGACTACAAATTTTAGCTAATTCTGGAAGATTTCCATCTGACTTTAGACATTTTAAACCTGAAATCCAGAGGTCAAGAAAACATCTTAGGGCAACTAAGATGATTAAGGGAGTGGAGCATCTCCCTTATGAGGAAAGACTGAGGGAGCTGGGTCTCTATAGTTTAGAGAAGAGGAGACTGAGGGGTGACCTTACTAGTGTATATAAAGGGGGAGTGTCACGAGGATGGAGCCAGGCTCTACTCAGTGGCAAACAATGATAGGACAAGGGGTAATGGGTACAAACTGGAACACAAGAGGTTCCACTTAAACTTGAGAAGAAACTTCTTCTCAGTGAGGGTGACGGAACGCTGGAACAGGCTGCCCAGGGAGGCTGTGGAGTCTCCTTCCCTGGAGACATTCAAAACTCGCCTGGACACGTTCCTGTGTAACCTTATCTAGGTGTTCCTGCTCCGGCAGGGGGATTGGGCTAGATGATCTTTCGAGGTCCCTTCCAATCTCTAACATACTGTGATACTGTGATTATGCAATGAAGTAAACACACTATTTTCCAAAAGTGAGTTGCTGACTGCAAAACTCTTAGATTTTTAAAATATTAATTAGGAACAAACTAGAGTAGAATTTAATGTTACTCTAAGTAAAAGACTTAGCTACAGATGACATGCATACTCCAGTAGGTTCTTGATAGAAGTTCTTTGTTCTGGTCTCATTTACTGTACTGTTAGACCTTTCAGCAGAGCTCATCATTTCCAAAGGTAATTTAAATCGTCCTTTGCAAGGAGTGGCTGAAGACAAACCAGAAACATGTTAGAATTCTACCATTTCTTCTATTAAAATTCCTGTGTCTGTCATATCAATATGAAAAGTTTTGTCCATAATAACATCTATTCCATAAACATTAAAAAATAGCTAGTGCTTGTATCACCTCGTGTACCTTTTCTAATTCTATTGTTTTCAATTGAGTTAAATGGAGGTTAACAAGCCCATCAACTGGGGATGTGTGGAGGTAAACAATGCTTTTAGAGGCTGGCTCTGGTGAAAAATAGTTGGTCATCTATTTAAAGATTTTACTGGAATATATTTTTGCTTTAATAGACTGGCTAAGTTCCAAAAAGAAAAAGTCACATTAAGTTCTAAATCTTGTTCCATTCCAATCTGAAAATGCTTTCTTTTCTAGCCTCTGGTACTCTTAATTTATACATGATACACGGTTATACATAACTATGGATACTCATGCATCCGAGACGGTTAAAGCAGGAAAATTAAGCTTGTCAGTCCTGCTGTTCTGCCACTAGTTGCATCTCCAGCCTTTAACTGGTCTTTCTTTGTCTTATAAATCTCTTCCTTGTAGAAAGTATTACATATCTGTTACAGTAAGACTATTAGCAGGAAAGTAAGAACTCCTATTTGTGATGAAGTCTCTCTTATCCTGTTCTGCAAGAAGCACTTCTGACATAAGCATTATTGGCACTGGACCTGTAACTCAACCTGGCAGTGGATCCCACCTTGCTCACTAGCCCCATAATCAACTGCCCCTTTAAGAAACACATACAGTTTTTAGATAACAGTAAAATGCAAGTGATAGATGTACACATTGGAGAAAGCTGATTTTCCGCTGCCACTGCTATAAAAAGCATTGCTGAGGAGTCTTTAAACCAAGAGAATGTGAGAAGAGAGATGTAAACCCATCCATTTTTACATCTTCTGATCGACTGCCAACTTCTCAGCTTGCTCCGGCACAAGCAGCTGACTGACAGCAGAACTAACAACAATAGGTGGTCTTTGGCTATTTGGAATGCATGCGCAGCTACTACCCTGCATCATGTCTACAGACCAGCAGCAAGTGGCCTAGTTTAAAAACTTCAATTTTAAAGCACCTGTGAAGAAAATTTATAAGGTTTACTTTTAATTTCCTGCTCTGCAAAGGACCACAGTTTATGCTTGTATTCAAAGATGATTTATAGTATGTTTTTCCTCTGAAAGTACTTGGAAACTTACATGTGCTAAGAAATACCAGTGGACTTCTTGTGGAAAATTTTCCAGGAATAATCACAGATGCTTCAGACACTTTCCTTTTACAAGACGTAGTTATCTTGGGGAACAGAAAAACTGGACCATAATACACAGATTTAAGAAAGACAAGACAAATTCTATCTCCAGAGTCTTCTGACACTGTATTATCGGAATGTCAATTGCTGTTGATGCACAAAGCAATGTAATGTGATTTTTATGCAGTTCCCTTTTTAGAGAAAGTTCAGCAAAATACTTGAATTATATAATACTCAAAACTAATGTTTTTGAGCAGAGATCAGTGATGGTGATTACTGTCTTTTGAATTAATTCAATAAAGTATGGCCAAATCCCAGCCCTTGCAAACAATCAAAGTAGCCAAGATGATTCCCAGGAGTTTCTGCAAAGCTATCATTTAGTATCATTAAGTATTTATATACTTAAACTGACTTGTATTTTTTTTTTTATGCCCTCTGCCTTGATAATCCTACTTACCTTGGAGGAACCACCTCTGCAGTTTTCCTGACTGGTACTTTTATTCAGAGTCCTCAAAGATCCAGGAAGTTGATGGGTTTTGTACTTACTGAGTTTGTCCTCCTCTTCAGATTTTTCTGGTGACAACTGACTTTCTGGTACCAGAACCTATATAATATTTTGCATTATTTAAATTTTTATACAATGTCTTGATGTTATCATGTCTGATATTTTATATTTATACCAACACACAGAGTAACTCTTTACCCTTAAGCATCACATTCCTTACTCTAGATTTTGATAAATCAGAGCTTATTCTGATTTATTGATAAATTCAGAGCTTATGTGCTTCTAGTTTTAAATACATCCAACCTGTTATTTTCGCTAACTAGGATGAGTTACCAAATCACAACTTACGTAAAAAAAAAATGCACTTGTGTATATTTGCCTGATTTATTCCAAGATTTAGATATTAAAATTATTATCTCCCCAAATACACAATACATGCTTACAAGAAATCACTTTACTGGTTTATGAGTAATCTTATTGGCATTTTGCAAGTTCCTGTTTTTATGCTGAACGATCATAAATTAGCTAATAATCAGACAAAATATAAACCCCATGAAAACAAGAATCTTGGCATACTGAAGTCAAATACCTGTGATCCGCTTTCATCAAAGACGACATGTACGCTTGTTCTGGCAACTGATGCAGACCGCTTCTTACTAAAATCCTACAAAGTGAGTAACCATCTACGTAAAATACACACTTTGCTCACTTTTTTTAAAACCAGAAACAGAAACAAAATTAAGTCAGATGATATGTGTCTGCAATCAGGTTACAGCGGAAAACAGATTCTACAAGCTCACAAGCTCAAAGCACTTCCATTCCTCACAAGTTTCTCAGAGTTCAGAGCAAAGCAGTTTGCCACAAGCAAAGGGAGTAAGCTACAGCTTATTAAAAGTTTACTAAAGGAGTAAATTCACAAGAGTGGTAAGCACATTGTAGAAGTGGGATAGCTAAGGAATCATTTCTGAGAGCCTTCCATATTTGAAAGCACAGTTCTTTACACAGTTCTTGTGTCTGTGGAAATTTATACATGCAGAATTTGCTTCAAGTCCAACTGTTAACCCAGTGTTGCAAAGTCCACCACTAAACCATGTCCCCCAGGCACCACAGCTACATGTCTTTTAAATACCTCCAGGGACAGTGACTCCACCACCCCCCTGAGCAGCCTGTTCCAATGTTTCACAACCCTCTTAGGCAAGGAATTTTTCCTAATATCCAATCTAAACCTCCCCCCCCCGTAAAATATGAGGCCATTTTCTTGTGTCCTTATTAGGCATCCTTACCAAGGCTTACTATAGCAGAAATGGTGCTCTGTATTGATGATACTAATCGAAAACTGTTGGTACATACAAACAACAATAATCACAGCTATAACAACGTTTATGTGGCAAGGAGACATTTATCTTGAATCAGTCAATTATTCAAAAGGTGTTCAAATCTTACCTTACATTTATTAAGACCATAAATCTTTCTGGTTACATCTCTGATTTCCAAGATAGAATCAAAATATAAGAAGAATTTCTCTCCTTCTTGATTTCCAACGTGCACTGGCCTTTTCAGAGCTATTGTTAATAATTTCTTTGAATCCTTTTCTGGAAAAAAAAAACCCACCAAAATTTGAAAAGCAGTTTCATTACAGTTTAGTAACATCTCATAAATGTTTGTAAATACATGAAACTTACTTGCTTTCTTCAGTTCAGCTATTAAAATGTAGATTTTATTTAATTCACTCTAGCCTACAATATATTTTTAGTGAAATACTTCAAGATTCCATCTTTAAGAAATTCTCTATATTATCCCGTAGAAATTTCCTTATCCTTATTCCCTACAGATAGTATCCTGTAGAATTTCCTTTCAAAGTTATTTACTATAGCTGCAGATAAACTGGAGAATTTACAAAACTATTCAAACTAGTTTAAATGGAACGTTATTAAATGTTACTGTCTTACACATAATTTTGTACTGAAATACCTATAAGACGCTATTTGAATAAAATCACATCTGCATGTCTAAAATGTAATTTTATCCCTGACAAAATGCCTATATTTTAATTTGGAATTTTGATTTGCTGAGGATCTGCTGAGGATTGAGTCAGTACTTTAGGATTAATCCAAGTTAATGTGTAACAAAAGGTCATGCTTTTTGAGTGCCAATACCTTCTAGGCTGTACTGGTCTACCTCTTCTTCTGGTATAATGACTGTTTCCCAGTGATAATCCTTGTAAGAAAAATATGTATTTTAAAAGACAGAAAAGCATTATATTGCAATTCAAAGTGCAATGTTCAGGAAGTTATTCCAAGAAGACAAATTTTCAACTTTTTTAATCCTTGTAAGGACTGACAATGAGCACAATAAGCACGTGCTTTATTTTTTAGAGCAAACAGTGTTTTGGAAGAGCTTTGGTAGAGACATTAAGTCTCACCTACAAAAACAACTGCAATTTTGTGAAATGGCTTCTTGTTCATGTATGCATATGTTAAACTGTTTGCAAAGAGTATCTGAAACTCATTACTTGGAAACTGTTTGATCTAAATAGGTACACCAAGTTAAGATTTTTTCCTCGCCTCCATATTAAATGTACACATAGCTTTAACATGTTGATATGGGAAAATAAATTTGATACCCGTAAAGAATACGTATCTACTGTCTCAGACCAATCTAGTATGATGGACAAAAATTAGCTTACTGCATCATCTGCTGCCACATAGAAAGATATACTTCTGCTACCAACGTTGAAATCAATCCAAAATTCTTCAAGATTTTCATCCAACGGTATCTGTAGCTAAAACAGAACAAAACAAAGAGTAAGAGCTGAAAGCAATGACTTACACCAGCTAACAGGCTTTGTGTTACAACGTGACAGACTTTAAATACCTGCACATCTGTATACTCCTGGAAAAAAACATTATTTTTTCTTAACTAGAAGGCAAAGAAATTCTTCAGGTGCACAAAGGAAAATCCATGGATATATGATTAAGCCTGTAACTTACCTCATATTCATCAAGAGCTGCTGATAAACATGGATATGTAAAAACCCTGTAAGAAAAGGATATTTTGTCAAGTATCCTAAACTGCTGTAAATAAATTTTGCATACCTGAGCACAGCAACCTGACTGCTTTCTCAGCACAATAAAAGATCAAAATAACCAAAAGAGCAGACACCTGACTTCACTTCTTCCCCAACAGAGATAACATGAAATTTTAAACATTCTCTCAATTATAGTAGCCTCAGACCTCTAGTCACTATGTTCATACTTCCACCTTATCTGCTGATATTTTAAGAATGATATTCAACCTCTTTACTGTCATAACATAAAATTAACACACAGAGCATGTGATCATACAGATGAGGAAAAGTTCGTATTTTCTTTCCTTTTCATTACCTATTTCTCTAGCAGATATTCTCATTGATCATTACCTCCTAAATCAATAAAGTAACATATACCAACAGATCCTATTGTTTAAGAATCTTTTCAAATGAATGCTCTTTCTTTAGTGAACAGTTTCTTCAAGCCGTTATCTAAGACAAACATAATGTGTTAAAAAGGTGATGAATAGCCATTAAAAAAAGAAAGAAAATGTTTTAGCTTAAGATATTCCATTTTACCTCCTTTTGTCTCCCAGCATGCCATTCACCTGGTTAAGAAATTTTCTGCAATCCTATTAAAACACAGAAATTTCTTAAAGAACAGCAAAATGGAAGTTTACCTCCCTTGAAATTTTTTATATGACTTACTGTTTCAAACTCAGAATCTTTAATTCCTTTAAATGCACTGGACACAAACTCCATGGAAAACCACTGGTATGCCAGTTCTCCTCTTTGTTTCTCTGATATCATTCTGCATAAAGCTTCTGTAATGGCTACCTGCAGGTCATAGTCTACAGCACAACGATTTTACAGGAACAGTAGTTTTAAAGATACTACTGACATAAAAAAGCATTATTATGTTTTGATTATACTCTGAAATAGTATATTATATACTATATTCTAATTATACCAGGAAACTAGTATAAGCATTGCTGAACATTTAATGTTACCTATCACATTATATCCAAATACATAACCCATAAAGGATATATAGATAACTAATGGAATGAGAACAACTAACCAACTTATGTTTCACACTGAAATTTCAAACAAGCTTTCAAGGAATGTCAGAGGAACATGAGGCGAGAAAGAAGAGAGGTTTCAAGCTTTCACCTGTCTGATCAGGGAAACCGCTGGATACCAAAGTGATCCCTGAGAGAAGTAGTTTAGCACTCTAAAAATGGCTTGCAGGTCACTATCCAAGAAGACTACTTCCTTATGATCTTTTGCCATTCTGAAACTTATATTTTAGAGAAGGACTGAAAATGTCAAAGAAGAGCCATGCATTGCATGCATCTGAAACATTCCAGCTTGCAGATTGTTTTCATGCAGTATTTTTATTTTTCAGAGGACTAATTGCAACACTTTGCAGCTTCTAAATGTCTTCTCTGGATTTTTAACAGGTCTGCATATAATTTTTAAGAAGCTTGACATTAAATTGCTTACTAAGTCCCATGCTCACCTCCAGCATCCAAAATTCTCTTCCCCATGTCACTCCTGCCAAACAAAGTAATGTTCCATCAAAACATGACAGCAGCACAAAGTACGGAAGAAAATTTTTATTTAATTACAAGCTTTAATGTAGGAGACAAACCTCTGATTCTACTAAACTATTAGATTTCAAAGGGGTCAGTGTATTATGCTAAGGCTGTACACCTGAAAGTACCACCAGAAGAAGTGAATCAACAGACACATATATAATTTTTATTCTTATTTTTTTAAGTGCTATTAAAAAAAATAAAAATCCCAAGGTGAACAGCTTGTCTTTCCAGTGACTGATTCATGTGCTTCACACACATTCTTAAAAAGAATTTATTTCATTATTTTAAGACAACAGGGATGAGAAAAAGCCTAACCCAGATCAGGAAAGAGTCAAGTTAAGGCTTGCAGTGGAGAACAACCCATAAGAATACCTGCCCACAGCCACTACCACTGGCAGCACAGTAATAGCAAATGCAAAAGTGAGTTAAACAGGGACTGTGAGGGTGGTGAAGCACTGGAAGAGGTTGCCCCAAAAAGTGGTAAATGCTCCATCCCTGGCGGTGTTCAAGGCCAGGTTGGACAGAGCCTGGGGCAACATGGTCTAGTGTGAGGTGTCTCTGCCCATGGCAGGGGGTTGGAACTGGATGATCTTAAGGTCCTTTCCAACCCAAACCACTCTAGGATTCTATGATCTGCATGTTATAAACAATCTTAGCAAAAACTGCCTTCCCAGCTATGCAAATGCCATAATGATATAAAAATTATACTGAAGATTATTTACATGGCACACAACATTTCCTTTGTAGAAAATATCCTTTTCCTGGCATCTCGAGGTATGTTGTCAAGCATTACATTAAGTTTTCTTACTACCTAAAAAAGGGAGCAAGATTTAATGTAAGTTGTTAAACTTTAAATTATTCTTATTTCTGGCTCTTCAAATATATTTCATACCACTGAAGAAAATAAAACACTTAAATAATTACAAAACAAGAAAAGACAATGAGGTCTATCTGACCATAAGTGGTATTTATCTTAATGTAACTACCTCAATTTCAATAAATGATATTACCTTTAATGTGGATATCAGTTGTTAAAGGGTTATGGTTCTTATTTGTAGTTTTAAATATAGACACCCCCCCCCCAATTTTCAAAGCTAGAGTTCTGTCTGAAGTTGTTTGCTGAGCTAATTTACTGTCCAAATCAAATACTGCAGATTAGTAATCTCAAAAACAAACAGACCACCCCAATATGTAGAAACGAACAAATATTCCCACAGAAACATTAAATAAGCCTTATGATACTACAACACTACATAATTATCTTTTTTGTGCAGCATCCGTACAGTTAAATTACTATCTTCACAAAGTCTGTTAAAACACTAACCAGGAAATTGTTGCTTATAAAGAAGAACGCTTACCTCTTGCTGGACATAGACACTAATTCTCACATCAGTGATGAGGGTGCACGTTCTCAGAGCAAAGTTTTCCAGTATTTCCATTTTACCTAATGAACAGGAAAAAAATAAAGAATTACTGACAGCGGATTAGGGTGCCCTCTCATCTGCATATGGGAGAAGATTCTTTTTCATTTAGAAATGTAGCATGCCTTCTTTTCCATATAGCATTACTAATACTTAAAAATAAACATCTTAGCCTTCTTGGTTAAATGCAAGACAGAATAGTTACTTCAATCTATTGTAAATACAGCTCTTTATGATGTTTCTACTTGTGTGCATCACTGCATAAGTCCCCTGGCCATGCGACCCTGATTTTTTAAATATATTCAGATCAATTCTGTAACTTAAGTCTCCAAGTTCAAATTCTGACCCAGGAATTTATCTTCCCAGGGACAAGGAAATGAATCTTTCATTCTGACTGAGACATCAAAATGGTCTGTAGTGACCTTCCACCTAGTGCTATACTAAATGCTAAGTGCAATAACATGCATGATAAAGTCAATAAAGAACGACAACTGTGCTATGCTAAGCTGTGACACCTTAGAAACAAAGCAATGCCTGCCTTTTTCCTACAGCTATGCGTGTTACACTGGTGAGGGAATGAGCTGTGTAGTTACACTTCACATTCCAGGGTGTTTACAGGAAAATATGTACTTCATACTAAGCCGTGTAAAATAAAAACACATAAAACTCCATCTGTGTTCTGTGTCTCTGTGCACCATCAAGAGTGCCGGGGCACGGCTCACAGACTGCAAATGTCCAGCCCCTGCTCCCACACCCAAGGTGCCAGGACAGAAAACTGGTGTTGGGCATCACCTATACACGGCGAGCTCCAGAACAGTACCACTCTTTGGCAAAAATTCAATTCAGTTGCCATCTCTGACAAGACTAGACTATCCTGCCTCTTTATTACTGACATCAACAAGTTACAAGGAAATCTGACAGTAGAGAAACCTCAAATTAAACTGTTACAGATGACATTAAGGCCTTTTTTTCACATGAATAAAAAAATTTAGTCCTCTGTGTGCAGAACAGCCCTCTTGAGTATAAGTCCTTTCCTGTTACGGTTTGTGAACTGAAGCAAATAGATCTGGCGGGGTATTTACATTGGATCAAGAAACTCTGCACCTTCCTCACTGCACAGCTTCTTCTCAGAACCACCTTGTCTCAACATGGTTCCACAAGTACTGTGTTACTTTAACACCAATAACTTTGCAATGCTCTTTAGGAACACTTTAACATATTTAAGTCTACACTTTTTTTTAAAGCTCACCTTCAGGTCTGCTATCCCATACAGCCTGTAAAAAAAAAAAACAAAAAACAACAAAAGATATAATTTTGATACTGTAAATATTACAGCATAAAAGTCAGGTAACAAACCTAAAGCAAGTAATCAAAAAGCATTTAAGATTTTAAAATTATTTCATCCTTAATGAAGGACATAGGAGAATTCTTTTAATCCCCAGTGTGGCTTCCCAAAATATTTCAGTTAAATTTATGGAAATTATTTCCCTAGTGACAAAAATGTTATGAACTGAAGCCAACTGACAGACCTTAGAAACCTGAGTCCTGGGATTAGCATACCAATAATTTATTTAATTAAAATCAGACCAGGATGAAATTTTTTTTGTTCATCAAACACTCCTATTGTTTATTTCATGATGCTAATCATGAACAGAAAAGGAGAACAGGCAAACTATTAACTTTAGAAGGATATTAAACAGAAACACTTTTGAAAGTCTTGCTGCTAAACAAGTAATAATTACTTTGACAAATATACACAAGGTATTTTACTATCAATCTATTTTTACCAGCAACACACTGAAGAAATCTTCAGCCAGGCTTGTAATCATTTCATTCTTTTCATTTCCTCTGAGGATCAAAATTTCTTTTATCTTTTCAAACCAATTCACCATGTAAAGGGAAAATAAATCTATTTAATAGCATGAAAAAGGACAATAGGTCATACTATAGTTCAGTAAGATTAGTTATTCTGCTGAGCATACTTTGGCCCCAAACTGGATTTTTTTTTCACTCACACTAAACAAATGTAGGTGATTTCAAACTGATTTCAGTAGCTGACTTTTTAAACACAAAACTCAGACATCTACTTTTACATCTGCCATCACAGATAAGGTGCTGAAAAACTGGCAGTAGGTGGAAGAGGAAGCCTGTTTGTAGGTGTGACTATAAGCATGAAATTACCACCACACCTTTTAAGTTTTAATTAAGGCAATTGAGAAGGCAATTGAGTAACACTCAGCTGAAATTGTCATCAATTTTCTGCAGTAAATTCCCTAGTATCTATTTTTCAGTATATGTATTATGTTGAGTTGACACATTTAACACGCAGGTTGAAATAACACAAAATACTCAGAATATCAGAATAGCACTATGATCTGTTGAAAGAACAGGTACAACGTTGCTGTTGTGAGTATTAACAAAAATAACTTAAATTGCACCAAGAAATTCTAATTCCCGACTTAAAAGCAATATTAAAAGCTCACGGAAAAAGATACCATCTTCTTGAAATTGCTGTGAATTATCTATCTGCTGCATGATTTGCAAAACCTTCTCTATGGCAGAGCAGTGTCACTTTATAAGGACCCGCTTGTTAAAGAACACTTAAATCTGAATAATGTTTGTTGCAAAGTTATGGGAAATTCTTCATTCAGAAACAATCAAGGACCAAGTTGAGTACCAAGATGTTGAGCACTGAAGCATTACTTATGCATGTTTTATTATTATATTATTTTTAGAAGTTCAGGTATGCGTTATGGTTTTACTTATCCTTCCAATAAGACCGTATTTTATCATTGCTGGGAGCCCATCTTCTCCTGCTATGACGATTTTGTCTGCACATTTCTGAAGAGAATTCAGTAAAACAGAAATGCTTTTGACTTCTTGTTTGTCAATTTCCTGAAATTGAAATTGTAACATAAGCTTTAATGTAGAGTTCTAGAAGAACCTGTATTTAATTAGCCAGGTGCCCTTCTGCTCTCAAAAGCCACCTGAATTGCAGCTTGAAGGAGATATGCAATTCTTAAATTTTATTTCAGTTTTTCAAATCAACTGCTGGCATAATCAAGCCAAATGAAACAATCTGTTTCAGACTATTCCAATGACAGTTTAGATGACTCTGATGGAATGGTTACATTACCCGACACAGAAGCTTGTCTAATTTGTTGACAAACTGCTTGCTGCATTTGTGAGAGGCATTTTCACAGTCTTCTGTTGCCAGAAATTGTTCTAATAATTGAAAATCTTTTTTTTTTGTAGCTTCATCAATTAACTTTTCAAACTGTCAACAACAAAAGTAAACAGAACAACTCTATTACTGTATGCTTTACACCCATACTGATTGAACAGTATTTAGCATAGGTGGTCTGCAATCATCTGTTGCATTCTAAAGCAAATATTCTTAACTAGGACACCATGAAATGTAAATGCTGAAGTCCAGAACACCACATCTAATACACAAGTCATGCAAATACTCATGGTTTTTTAATTATTTGCTAGTTTTCCTTAACTGGCTTTTCTTTCCTTGTGTTACAAATAAATGCTTATGCAAGTGCTCACCCTGTTAACACCCCTTAGTACATTTAGCATTCTGTATTTCTATATTATCTATTAGGGACTTTAAAAGATATTAACATATTGCAGTACTACTGCCTTCCTCAACTATTTTGCCACTCCATTCTTTCTAAATCAACTATAACCCAATTTCAACATACTGATCTTGAGTATCATCCCCAATGATTCATGTGCAACAAATACATACGATTTATTTTAATCAGTAATAACTTCCAGTTCCTCTTGCTTTCTACCCAGCTACTTAGCACTAACCTGTGTCAAAGGAAAATGTCTTCCTCTGACATTCTTAGCCACAGTGCAAATTTTACATGTAATCAAATACCAGAAGCGCTTTAAGCTAAGTAATTAAAACAATCAATACTCATATTCTGGTCCATAAGCACATACCTGCATCTCATTCCTGGTTGCCATTCTTGCAATTCATCTACTCAGCTGCACAAGAAGGGAACAATCACCACTTGACCAAAACACAGCTCACTGACACAAGCTTCCAATAGGTTCTGGAAACATGTCAGTTACCAGTCAAAACACATTACAAATGCTAACATTTGTCACTAGTACAAATATTATTATTACTTTAAGAAATTAAAGTAACTGGGGCTTTAAGGAAACATCCTTACATGGATAGACAACTGCTTGAATTAAGACTGGAAGGAATGATCAGCCATGGCAATATAGGAAAATAACATGAAGATGGCCGCCATCACATTATTCAAAATAGGCAGGTCAGCAGCAGAACTCCAGAAGGGCCTAATTATAAATCACTTAAGAAAAAAGTGACAAATGCATGCAGGGAAAAAGTCTTCTTAATTACAGATACAGTGATGGGCTCTGAGATAACTGTTAACAGCAAATGTGAGGTCGCAAAACTAGTTTACTGAAAACAGTTTTAATACTGAAGAACCATCAAGTTACCTTGGTTTTTAGAGTTAATATGTAAAAAAACAACCAACCAAACGAAAAACAAAACAACACCCCACAATAAACTTTTTGATACTTTGCACAAATTAATCTACATTGACCAATCTACCATATGCAATTTCAGTCTCTCCATTCCAGAAATTACACAGCACTAGACAAAGCAAAGCAAAGGGAAATGACTAAAAATAGGAAACAGCTCCTATAGAACAAGAAAGTCAATCATTTCTGCACACCTAAATAATATAGAAATTGCAACTACAGTGCGATTTATTTATTTTCTCAACACAAGAACACAACAGCCTACACTGAAGCCTTTGCTATCACCTCACAGGGCTCTCGCCTCCTGACTAGTCAGGCAAGACAAAGAAAAAAATTATCAACCCCTTCCAGGGGCCTCCTTCTCGACGAAGTCATGAGACCTCCACCCTCGATCCACACGCAGTCGCTGGCATACCCCACAGAGCTTTGCTACTCCGCAGAACGCGCCCGGCAGTCGCCCCGCCGCCTCAGCAGCGAGGCCCCACACAGCATGGCGTCCTCACCTCACTGCCGAAGCAGAAAGAAGCGCCCTTTCCCTCTGTCCAATCACTCGCAGCGCCTGTAAACTACAGCCAATCCTTGCCCGCGAGCGCGTCGTGCCGACCAATCGCCGTCGGAGGCTCGGGGCGGGAGGTGGGGTTTCCTTGCCGTGCGGCCGCCTCGCGCAGATGTTTCTCCGCCCTCAGCGCCTGGCACGGTCTGTCCCGGCTGCTGCTGAGGGGGAGCTGCATGCGGCGGCCTCTTCACCTGCCCGCCGAGAGCCCGGCCCCACGAGCGAGGTTCCTGACCCCGGGCGGGAGCGGGGCCGTGGATGGGGCGGCGGCTGCCCTAACGGCTGTAAAACCCCCTGCGTGGGGTGTGCCTGCCTTTCCCGCCCAGCACTGAGGGAAGTAACCTTGGTGGCCCGGTGGACACAAGCTGGATAGGAGTGAGCAGCATGCTGGGTCACATCAACAAGGGCATCATGAGCAGGGATGAAGAAGTCATTATCCCACCCTGCTCAGTGCCTGTCAGGCCACATCTGGAATACAGTGTTCAGTTTCGGTCCTTGCTGTGCAAAAAAGATGTGGATGGGCTGGAGAAGGTCCAGAGAAGGGGCACAAAGATGATCCAAGGACTGAGAAGCCACATAAGGAGAGGCTGAGAACTGGGTTTCTTCAGCCTTGAGAAAAAAGGCTCAGGGGAGACTTCATCTCCATGTTCCAGTGTTTAAAGGGTGGCTATGGAGAAGATTGAGACTCCCTTTTTACAAGGAGACAAAGGAAAAAAGACAAGGGGTGATGGGCACAAATTACTCCTGGGGAGATTCCAGCTGGACACAAGAGGAAAGTACTTACCAATGGGAACAATCAGCCATTGCAGTAATCTCCCCAGGGAAGTGATGGCTTCCCCAGTACTGGCCACTGTTAAGATTTGGCTGGGCAGGGTGCTGAGACATCTAGTCTAGCTCATGCTTTGCCTGGAAAGATTGGACCAGATGAGCCTTGAAGCCCCTTCCTACTGGTGCCCTAATTCCTGCAGTGGGGAAGGAGCGGGGCGTGGAGTGGTTTTACTATTGAGCAATAGTCACATTATCAAAGGACTGTGCCTGCTTACCTGCACCATTCTAATTGTTTTATGTTACAAATTGCCTTTTTTTGATAACCAGTATTTAGAACATTAATTTCAGTGCATACTGTAGACAAGAGTTACTGGGCATGAGGTGACTAAACCAGTGTAATTAATTTATATACTTAATTCAGAAACGTTTTCACTACCATCAAGTGCCTAAGTAGGTAAAGAACATACAGAAACTCAGATACAGACCTCGTGCTGATAAAGAGCTCCTACTGACATTTGTGGTCTTTATTATACAGATGGAACTGGGTAATGTTTTTGAATGAAATCCAACAGTTCCAAAGAGGGGCTTTACCTGTACTGATGTTATATAGATGTATCTGACATCTGTATCAAAATAGAAGAGAGAAAATTTATCATGAATCTTACACGTTCCAGTGCAGTATCAGGCAGCATCTCTGTTCATACCTGAATGAGCAGCTATAGTCAGCATCTAACTGCTACTGCTAAGCCCAGGACAGAGTGGAATCACCTTCACGGCAGATAAACCTGCAGCAACAGTATATAAAAAACACCACTGACTTACTAGAGTAAGAAAGAAACCAAATCAACACTGTAAAAGGGGAAAAATAAAAGCTATACACAAAGTATTCCAAGTACCACCAGATGTCACTGTAACTCAAGAAAATGACAAGTGGTTCAGATCTGGACTGAGGAGGAGATCCCACAGGAGTGAGTAGGGCTGAGCACATTCAGCCAAAAGGATTAACTGCAGCATTAACCACTGTTATATTTGCTGTTGGGATAACTTATTAGAAGGCAGTGGGTGATCTGAAGCAGATCTGAACAAGTACAGCTTTACTGAGAAACCTCCTAGGGCAAAACTTCACATGAGGAATTAGGAGCATCAGAAGTTTTCTATAAAAACTGAATTCTGAATTCCACTTTCATCATATGAAGCAGAAGTAATAAAAGCCAATTTGCATTTGATGTTTTCCCCTGCCAGTCACATTAGCATACACCCAGGCTTAGACTGTCCACAGATTTCCAGATCTTGTAAAGAGAACAGCCTTACCCATTTTATAGTGAAAGAAAAGTGAGTCACAGTACAGGGAAGCGAGTCATACACTTTCTATCCTTCACTAGGTACATTGACATGAATGGGAGACTCCTGTATGTTCATTTCACTTTCTCTAATGTCTCTTTTGTTTGGTTTGGCAGAAGGGATGGCAACAGAAAGCTGAATTTCCATGAAGTTATACATTAGATTGGAACACACAGCGAAATTATTCGGGCCACAGATATGGCAACTACACTTCAAATTTTCAGAGAAAATGGAAGCAAACTAAGTATAGGGACCCTTCACTACAGTAGCAGAAATACTTACCTTCATTACAGGCACTTGAAAACACTGTACTGGTCAATACAATCACCCTTTGGCACAGCTGCTGTTGTGTGCAGAAGTGAGAAGGGTCAAAAGCATCAATGCCAACAGTTTTAGTATCAAGTGTCGGCTGAAATAGTTGCAGATCTGAGATCATAAGGAGAAAGTCAAGTTAGGAAAGAAGTCAGTACTAACATTAGACTCATATTGACAAATGACTAATGATTTAGACTTGCCATTCTGTCTTGACCAGCAATGCTGTAAAGGACACATAAGATTGTACTGAGCACTGGTGATTCAGTAAATTAAGAACTGTAGTTACAGCCGACTGTTAGCATATTACTATTACTACAAGTTGAATTGAATTTATTCCCTGTAAGATAAATACAAAGAAACTACAAATTTGAAACTAAATGTAAAAATAACACCTGTATTACAAATAACACTAACTAGCTGCAAGATAAATCTGACAGCTGGATATTCACAGCAAAAGCCAGTCCTCTTAAATATTCTTACACCCAGCCTGCTCCCATTGTTTTCAAGTGATTTGTTAAAATCAAAGACCACTGTCTTTGTTCTTTGCTGGTCTCCTGGCTAGCCTGCACTGCGGTTGCCGTATTTATTTCCAGATGACAATACTCTTTTCATGGGCGAAGTTATGACAATTAAGGTGGTATTGCTAGTTCTGATTTAGAGCAGTAGTATAGGAAAATGCAAAAATAGGAGTCCTAAAGACAAGATATAATACCATGCTTTCTAAAAGCACACTCCTTTATGCATCTGCATGCATATAACACATAATCTGTATACTATGTAATAAAAAGTGACACTGACATTCTTAAGCAACTTGGCATAAGAAAGATATTCCCTTGTATTTAAATAGCAAATTTAAATTTGCAATAATCGTCCTTCCCCCAAGCAAGTTGGACAATGTAGTGTGGAAGTTATCAACACTGATTAAAAAGTAACTGATAATGTATGTCTTTCTTTATTAATTATGTCTTCCAGTTAAATGTCTCCATTTTGCTTTGGAAGAAACCTGGCAACACATCATTCAAATCTTGGACTGTATCAAGTAAAAGCTTGACACTGATGGAGATGTATTTCATATAGAGGATATAGACACTCAGAGATGCACAGATGATGGATGCTCTTACCATGCTGCATTCAGATGTATTTTCAAGAAACCAGTGAGTGAAAAGAACATGCTGGATTGAGAGGACAGTCTGCAGCAATGAAAACTAAAGAACAAACAGATGAAAGAACAACACAACCGTGAGGCTCAGAAATTAATGTGCTATGTACAGTCTAGCACACCCTTGGGAAGTGGAAGTAGAAGAAAACCCCTTTCTCTTCCATGCAACAACATTTGACTCAGCTGGCATTGTGCCATTTTTCCAACATTAGATCATAATCCGGCAGGTGCTGCATGCACAGAACTCTTAGCTGAAATGGAAGCAAATTCCATGTCAGAAGGGACAGCCTAATCATTTTAGCAGTTATATAGACTGATCACTGTATTTTTAGCAAGTGCTCTTCATTTTTTAGCAACTCAAACCCACCTTACTTTCCCAAGTATGCTGCTCTTAGTGACAACTCAGCACTAAGTTGTGCCACTAAACTCAGGAGTTTCCTTATCTGTTAACAGGAGAACCATTGACAAAACCATAAAATTGTGAAAAGCTTTATTACAATCTTTTGTATTACAATAGCCAATACTTTATTGTTTTAAAAATGAAATAAAGTGAAGCACTTTGCAATTATACAACTCTCCACTAAAACAAAATGACCTTTTGTCTAGCATATGTGTTTTACTGATATACTGTGTAATGTACTTTCATCTAGGACAAGATGATTAATTGGGAAAGAAAACCCCTGTGCATTTACATGGATCCCACGTTTCTTTAGAAAACATGCCCAAAAGAACCTTGAAACTGGACTAGACATTTATTGTATGATTGTAATAAATACAGATTTTAAAAGTGCATTATATGGCAATAACCTTTGTGAAGAATTCACTTTTACAAACTCCTCCTTATAAGGGAAGTGCTCAGTTTGAACACAGTGCAAGCAGTCAAGTTGGCCTGAGAATGTATAAGGTGGTCAGAAACTGACCTTCACCATAGGTGTGTAATACCACTACTTAATGGCTTAATCCCTTTTTCTGTCAGCTAGAATCCTTTTGATATTCACTACTGAGTATGACAGGAAAACCGATGTGCAAATTTCATCTTTCATGACAGGTGCCAGCACTCGTGTGAATGTTCAGCAGCTTAACCCAGAGATCACTCAGTTCCGTTACAAGGCAGGACTGCTCAACTTTGCACCACCAGACAACCGGGTTAGTAACAACTCGGTCAGTTCTCCAGCAGTGTATGAGCGCAATCTCCAGCAAGCCAAGAGAGGAAAGGCAAACTTGGATTAATAATTCAGTGTTCAAGATTTTGCACATGCAAACACCCTGAGAGGTCATGGAAGAAAGACAATGTAAGCCAAACTCATTTCCAAGTCATTAATTATTCACCTCTCTCTGACACTGTGGTACACATGACACTAATCTTCACACTGACAACCTCAGCTTTACATAATCAGTCCCTGCCTGCAGTAACACTCATATCTGACATCTGGTAGCACATGAAAGAGTCTCTCCCAGAAGGTGGCAACAGCATCTTTCTGCCAGTAAGACAAATATGGCACTGGGCTCCAGCAACAGCCACTGTAGAGTGGTGTCAAATACCAGTCTCATAAGAGAGGAATTTTTAATGGTGTGCTGAGAGGTGATTGAGTAGTTTTGCTAATGGAAGAAATACAGTAATTGGGAAGAGAGGAGGAGGACTACAACAATACTTTAAAATCATCACTCCTGTAAGCCTGACACAGAAAACAATGCAGGTGGATTGAAAGCAGACAGCACCCCTTCCTCTCTGTAGTTTGCAACTGCACCTCAGTCTCACCTGATCCTTCAGAACAATTTTAACTTAAAACTTTCCACCTCACAATGCTCCAACACAAAGTTGAAGCAGACACACAGTTAAATCTCAATGGTTTCAAACAGGACTGAATTTTCTCAGTACTGCAAGTAACTGCTCAGAAGCTCATAGGATCATCTGCATGACTTCGGTTCCTTTGCAAGCCAAATGTCAATGGAACCAGGCAGCTTCTTCACTTGAAATCCGTGCTTTGCTAAATGGTTATCACAACTGAGGAGTAACATGAAGTTGCCAGACACATGAATTTTCTTGGGGTTTCTGCACTTTCAGAATTACTCAGTAAGCTTTCTGGACTAAGAAAGACTTGGCTGTGGGTTGCTTATAAAAGTGATTTTTAAAACAACTTGTGATTTTGATGAATAAGCAGCAATCCAAAATAAGATACCCAAATAAGTGGCCTAATTTTCTTAGTACAGTCCTAAAAAGCAGCTCTTATACAACCAGTTAGTTTTGAAAGTTTGTGCTACACATATAAAGCTAAACTTTCCATGCTGTTATGAATACATATGAAAAAAAGCATTTTAACTTTTTTTTGTTTTTTACAATCTTTTACTTACTAGATTTAAGCCTGATGCCAATCTTAAGTCACACTAAAACCACAGAGTGAAAGTAGTAGAGCAAGAAGCATGGGAAGACTGCATCTAACAGTGCTCCTGTGCTCTCCCAGCTGGAGAAAGGATTCTGTTTGTGGGTCTGTGGAAGTATCAGTTTACCAAGCATCATCTTGCTTTGAAGTGCCCTCTTTGTATTGCAAAGGGTGCAGTCTTGGAGTTCAACTGGTTTATAACGAGAAACAGTTGATTAAAGAATACAAAGGTACTACTGCAACAGTACTGGGATGCTGGGGAACAAGAAGCCAGGATTCAGGGTTCTGGCATGCTATTCCAAGGCCCTGCAACCAGCTCCCTGTAGTGGCTATTCATTATATATATATCTCTCTCTATATATATATCTATCTATATATATATATATCTCCTATATTAATTTTTTGATTTATAAATTTATCAGGAACACTGGTAAAATCACCAGCATTCATACAGCACTTTAAGATCTTCAACTGCAATTGCTACACAAGTACAAAATTGTTCTAGTTTCCCTTAGTAAAAACCAGGCACACAAGGAATGGACAATTCCTGTACCACCACCTAGAGAAAAAAGCCTACTTGTGCGTCATCTGAAAGAAATGAGAACTTCCCTGTGAAGATCTGCCTTGCACACACTTCGGGAACAGTCATTCCTGCTGCCTGCTGCAAACACTGAAGATAAGAAAAGGCACCTTTTTTTTTTTTCCTAAGGGAAACAGAGAGGCTAATGGCACGTTTTCATGTATGTTCTGATCATAATACTATCTAATTTCCATCCCAAATATTAACAGAAATATTCAACATGGTTACAGTCTTACTAATATACATATAAAAATACAAGTACTCCCTGAAGTGTCTGCCATGCAAGTTATGCATAAATGGAAAAGTGCCCAGACTTGGTGAGATAATATAAACAAAATTAGAAACAAAACCAGTAAAGCCACACTCCATATTTAGGAAACAGACAGTACAAAATCATAAAATAAATCAGTTAGAAATATTCTATGAAACCTAGAATATTGCTAGTCACATGAAGTGTCTTGTTTTGCTCTCTGGTAGTCCAACAGCATCCCCTGGGACCATTCTTCACCAACTCATACACTACAAGAAATCACAGGAGCTTTCAACAAATGTAACTCAATACACATTTTGGCCTTTTTTACTTGCTGAGAAGTTTAGAACAGTTTGTCCGGGTCATTGGCTACTTCCTTGCCCTGGAGCACTTCATCAGCTTTGGCAGGTTTCAAAAAGGAGACTGTTGCCATAGGAGCAGAGCACCATGCCAAGGAAGAGAGTGCCACCAGACTACTGACAAGCTGCTCTGTGCCCACTTCCTCTGTTAGATAAAGTGGATCCAGCTCTCCTCACATTCTCTAGGCATCTTAAGGGGGTGAGTCCGGCAGGTAAGACTGTAGTTATTCCCTCTGTTGTTATCCCAGTACTCCTGGCCGTTGACTTGGTACCTTGCTGCAAACTGGACTACAGAGCACAGCTGAAGGAGAAAAGGAGGCACAGGGAGAAAGAAAGTGAAAACATCAACCTGATCCTGCCCGCTTTTCTCATGGATGCTACTGTGCCAGTGAGCACACACTTCATTGAGGCTTTTCCACTGGTTGAAGGTGTATCGCACAGATACCTGCTTCTCAAAAGCAACGTTGCGAACCTGGATGGTGCCACTGAGCCCCAAATCTGAGCTGGTCACTCGTTCAAGACACACCTGCTGCTCCTGAAGTCGGGAGGAGAAATCCATACAGTCTGCAGGCTGCTGGAAGTCAGGGACCAAACACTGCATAGTAAACTCCAAGTCTGAGCTGCTGTACCAGAGGTCTGAGTTTATGGAGAGCCTGGAAAGGACATGCAAGGGGATCGATGGATCCTCCCCGCTCTGGAAGACTTTCACTTCAGTGAGCTCCAAGCCCAAAGCATCAGCAAATCTCACCCGGTTCATACGACTCTGGCATCCAGGAACTTGACACTGCACTCCGGCTCTCTTCCTTCTTTCGGGCGACGTAGGTAAAGATCTCGCCCGGCGGCGTATGATAGGCCGTAATGCTGGATCACAGCTGGAGGAAGTGCTGCTCTGTGGCTGGGGGCTCCCCTTAGCTGGGGTATTGCTCCAAAGAATCATATTGCTACTTGTATGGATTGCAGGGGACTGTTGCTGGCCACGTCTTGGCACTTCTTCAGCCCGTAACATGTTCTGATAGAGGTCAGAGAGATAGCTGGGATTCCTGCGAGGACCATGTACCTCCATTGTTAGTTGATGACAAAAATCTGTGTTTACACAGCAGGTAATACACACTGCCTCTCTGAAGCACTTAACTTGGGAGTGGCAGCCAGGGGCAGGAAGTATTTGAGGTACTGCATGCAGCAAGAATCAACTGAAGCAATGCAGCCTTCTGAATGAAGGGCAGAAACCTGGAAGCTCTGACAGTAGCTGAAGTGAACCAGAAGCTAGTGCACGGTACAGGTCGATGAAGGCAGTGTCACTGGCTGGTAAGCTCGAGACTGCTGTGCTGGCTGTTGGTCCCGTTGCTCAGGCTGGAAAGGGATTCAAGACTATCACCGGTGATGCTGGAGGACCTGAAGCTCTCACACAGACTGGACACCGACTGGAGGCTGTCTTGCAGGACACCAAGGGACTCCAGGCTGTCGGAGAGGCTGCTGAATGCCTGAGGGTTGCAGCGGTGCACCCCACAGCACGCCAGCCCGCTGCAGAGGAGCAGAGGGGCCTGCAGGCTGTCCTCGCACACTCCGGCCGACCCCGCGCTCCCGCAGCAGCAGCAGCAGGGACACTCCAGGCTGTCACACTGGATGCTGGGCGAGTCGCGAGGGCTGCCGAGACTGGGGAAGGCTTGGAGGCTGTCGGGCGGGAGGGAGCCGGAGCCGGAGCCGAGACCGGTACTGCTGCAGGGGCTGTCGCGGCGGAGGCTGTCGGGTGGGGCTGTGGAGGAAGGCTCGGTACTGCAGCTGGAGGAAGAACGATCCTCGCCTGGGGACTCTACAGCCCACATCAGCTGCACAGTCCTCCCTCCGTCCCGCGGCAGGCCTCTGCTCCGGCCGAGGGCAGGGCGGCAGCGACAACACCGCACCCGGGACACCCAAACACGGACCCCGCTCTCCCGCCGCTCCGCCCGCGGCGGCGAAGTCGCCCTCGGTGGCGGCGCACGCGCGGGGCCGCCCCTCCAACCCACCCGCCTCCGAGCGCCTGCGCACTGCCCACGTGACGCCGCAGCGGCTGGGATGCCCTTAGCTGCCTGCCGCGGCTGAGGTGGGTGCGGGTATCGGGAAGGGAAGGAGCGGGAGGGCGGTCCTGTCCTTTAACTAACGAGCTGCCCTCGGTCGTTGTCTCCAAGCAGCGCAGTTGGGGTCAGCATCGGGAGCTGTTGGGGCATCCCGGGAGGGAGGGAGCGGAGCGGGGCCGGGCCCGCCTGGGCCCCGGCTGCGGCTCTGAGCCGCGGAAGCTGCCTGCAGCAGCTGCTGTCAGATCGGCCCTTCCCGGCTGGTGAGCTGCCCCTGGGCGCCGTGGGCTGAGCCCCCGGATCCTGGCCCACCGGCATGTAGCGCTGGGAGCTCGGGTGGGGGATGGCGGAGAGAGGCACTGGAGGACCAGGACAGCATCAGATGAAAACAGACACTGATGTGGTTGTAAATATATAAACACCACTGCAGTGACATGGATATAGATATATAAACATCACTGCAACAAAAACAGAGGTGGGTGAGGTGTTCGGGTGCTCATCATCTGTCAGCTGTTGCAGGTTCTGTCTGTGCCCCCCCCCCCCCCCCCCCCCCCCCCCCCGGGTATGGGAATGCAGATTCTGGAAAATAAAAGAATGCTGTGAATTCTGCTCTATTTTTAGTACGAATTTACAACACCCGAGAGATTTGTTCTGGAAAAGAGAGAAAAAAACCCCTGATTTGATACAAAATTTGCATATATGAATATAGGAAGAGTGCATTTTCTGGGGCAAAAAAGACAACTCCCCATGCTCCAACCGCAGGCGGCTGATCATCTATTCTTGTTAAATTAGGAGCAGAAACACCCACCACCGTTTGACTGTGATACTTGGCTCCAGTCAATACATGGAATGCTGCGCAGGAGGAACAAAATGATGATGAGCATGTTACACAATGAAAAGTAGCTCTTCCAATGCTGCTGTACTGTCAGATCTTTTCCTGTATTTTACCAACAATCCTTCAGGGACTGGCTTGTGAACCTCATGGGAAGAGCTCAGTGGTTTGTTGTTCATTTGGTAGCTGATTATATATACCTTAATGCTTTAAAATTAAATCAAGTTGGGAGGACTCACGTTGTGTTTATTTCTTCTCTAGAAGATGGTGATGTTTGCGTTCGATACACTGTGTCTTACAAACCCCAAAGACTGGAGCTGTTTGAAGATGATGTAAAAATAAAGGTGGCGTTACCCTTTAGAAAGAGTAATTATGGGACCAGGCATTCAAGAATATCCCTTATTACTGCACGGAGAGAGACAGAAAAAGGAGAGCCAAATCAATGAAAGCCACAAAGGAATGGTAAAGTAAGGAAATTATTTTCTCTCTTGTTACAGAGTTTGGTACATACTGTAGATTGGTTAATAAGTGTGTGGCTGAACTGCTCAGATTGTCATCCTGTCCTCTGATTCACAGCAACAGAAGCAATTCTGCAGTGTGATTGTGCAGGTCACAAGGTGACAGAGGTGACTGCATCAGTGCTGGAGGCACAAGACTCATTTTCATTCTTTTATAATCTCTTCAATCGGTGACATCGTGGGTTTTAAAACAAAATCTGGCTATACTGACATAAAAACTGCCTGACAAATTAACTAAACTGCAGTCAAACTAGACTAGACTGGGAGGGCACAGTTTGCTTATTCCAATTCTAAAATGACATTTAAAAGGTTTCCTTTATTAAAATTAGTAATATTTCTTGTTTGTAGAACAAACACTTTTTCTGATTTTTATGGAATACACTGATTTAATGATTCTTTGTGTCTCATTTAATTTGGGAAATATGTATTCTGATTTTAAGCTGTTAAGATCAGTAATGCCATTCCCTTTGCTTGCATATGTGTTTTTCTCCTACTAGTTTTTCCACAACTTCATTATAACATGAAATAGTGAATTTTGTTTGTGTTTTTGTTGTAAAATAGTATTAATATCAGAATAGACTGTATGCTCCCTGCTTGCTTCCATTCCTTAACTTCGTAGGAATAATCCTTTAAATGTTGTTGAGAGTATGCACATGAGAAAGGCAGCCAGGATGTGACTTGCAGCGGCCTTCATACAGTAACTTATAATTCTTTTTGTTAAATTGAAGTAGGACCATGTATTAGGTACTATAGAAATTAGTAGTTGCGTATGTAGTCTCTAATGTTTACTATTTGTTATTCATGAAGTTACTTGCAAATGAAGATTAAATTCTGTTATTATACCATCTGATTGAATTACTCACTTTTGCATTAGTAGTATAAAAAATAAAAAGTGACCATGGCATAGTTCTGGTGAACTTCTAAGAGTAGTTGTAATCAACTGTCTCACTTTTAAAAACTGAATTGCACTCTACACAACTTCGGTTGTGTTTCTGTTCTGATGATTGTATATGTTGCTATTTAGATGTTTTATTCTGTTTAATCCTTGCTAATTACAGTAATGGAAAAAGCCATCTGAGCACCAAAGGACTAAATAAACCAATTTTGTGTATGAAACCTTCTCCTGGAAGATTAGACAAAAATGTATCAAGTGCCATTGAAAAGGTAAATATTTTTGGTTGGATGTTTTTTGCTTACAGAAAAAGGGTACTTAGTTTATGTCAGCTTCTTAATAACGTCATATATATTTTTTCAGATTCCGCATGACACTCAAGATGGTAACCAACCAACTATTCTTAAGAAGGGAAGAAACATTCTGGATGACAGTACGCAGCCAAAGAGGTAGTTTCATGTTAAGATTGTTTCATCTGTAGTCATTTCAAGCTGGTATATAAAATGCTTGTGTTGAAATCATGGCTTCTGTGTTTTGTCTTTGACTTCACTGACCCCAGAATTCAGCATTTATGAGGACAACAAATTTATCAATATGGAAACTTATTATCCTGCCCTAGTGAGTTCTCAGGCAAAATCAGAACAAAATAAAACAAAAAGTCTGTAGCAGGCAGTGTTACCTCTGCTAGCAAATATTAATTTTACCTCATTACCAAGCTTCATTCATGTAGATCCATGGCCTTGAAGGAAGTAGCAAGACCTTTATAGACTGATATTCAAAGGCATTAATTATTCTAACAAGATATGATCTTTCCTTTAATTTAGGACCACAAGTGTTTGCACGTCACTGCACAGAGTACAAGGACCAAAGAGGAGTCTCCCAGAAAGAAGGCAGAATGAATCTTTTCTGCACAGGATCCCTCTTAGCACAAAGGACAGCACACAAGGTAGCTTCTGCAGGGTTAAAGACTTCCCAGTGCAACATTTTTACTGCAGTAAAAAAGAACAGTTGGAAAAGAATCACAAAGAACATGTTGCTGTAGCTGGTCCATGCTCTTCTAAATGGCAAGAAGCATCTGTACATGAAATGTTTCTTGATTTTGAATCAGTACAAATTATTAAAGAAGATGCTGAAGATGATAGTGCCAGTGATCTCTCTGATTCAGAAAGGATTCCCATTCCCCCATCTCCCTGCACACCACCAGAACTCATTCTCAGAGCTGAAGAAATTGATCCAGTTTGTTTGGAACACGTCCCTGATACAGGTTTTAAAGAATCAGAATATTACTACCCAGACTTCCTCCCACCCCCTTTCAACTCATGGGACTTAAAGCAACTGGCCATCTTTGTTAACGTAGAGGGTAAAACTGAACTTCGACCAAAGCCAACAGGATTTCTTCAGAAATACATTGATCGCCTTTTGCAGCTGGAATGGCTGCAGATGCAGACTGTACAGAACGAGAAAGGAAAGGCAGCCAAAGCCAGGCCACAGACTGCTCCTGGCTCTGTCCGTACCCTAAAAAGCCCTGGCAAAGGCAAAGCATTGCTCAGCCCTTTGCCTAACAAGCAGCTGGTTCCCCAAGAAAGTGTTACAAAGCTTCCCAGAAGCTATTTGGGTCACAGGGGAGATTCATACTGTGAAAAAAGTCGCCAGTTATATTCTCATGCAGGTCACTTGAAGCTTTCAGAGAGAACGGGATGTGCAATGTCTTCTCAGAGACAATCTGGAGAAGTAAGGAGCGAACTGAAAAAAAAACCAGCTGCAAAGCAACAGCTTCTCAATGTGGAACCCTCCGAGAATGGTTCTAAAATTCAAAGTGTTGGTAATATCAGACCCCCTAAGCAAACCCCAGTATTTCATGGTTCAGCTGCTCCCATCAGAGGCTTAAAAGCATATGCGTGTACAAATCCAAAGAAAAATGGCAATGTCAACAGTTACGTTCCTTCAAAAAAACCAATAGGGGACAGGAAAATAAATGGCACAAAGCAAACATCGTGCAAATTCAAATGAAGAAAAAATCATCAGTAAATCTTAATGATTCTTGACTGCTACAAAGCATTTGGCCAATGCGGGGGGGGGGGGTGTGTCATATTTTCTTTATAGGAAGATCCTAAGAAACTATGTTCTTGATGCATGGCTCTAAGTCAGCGCTGTTCATTCTATGATTTCAGTACATGTGATCCTAAGCCAGCAAGGCCAGCAGGAAATCCTTTTCCTGAAGGCAGGTGTCTTCCACTGGTCTTTCCTCAAAAATATTTCCAGTTGCTCAATGAAGGTAACAATAGCAGAGTATGAAAGTTTAGTGAAATATGTAATTATAGCATGTCCTATTTGCACCAGTGGAAGTCTACTGAAGTCTCTGGTGTTTCTCACACTTACCATAGTATATTTGAAACAATAGGATTCATGCTCTTCCTGAAGAGATGTGTTATTTTGTGAGACAGGTTTGATGGTGTTTTCTGATGGAAAAGGGTTCAAACTGTTTTTATAAAACAATGGAGCATGCTTATCTATGCAAAGTCAAACTGATTCTCACAGAAGATGATGGATTTTTTTGATGAATTAGATATTTTTTATAAGGATGGAGATAATGTTTTGAAATATTTTAATGAAGAAAGGATTCTTTTTAGGACAAAAAATTAATAGGGAGCAGAAAGCTTCACTAGTGACAGGTTAAGAAAACTGAATGTGTATTTTTATACCCAGGAATTTTCACTGTGTTTACAGACAGCTTTTCTTGAGAAGTTTCTTTTGTAAGCTTTGTCATTCAGAGGGAATGACCAAATTTCAAACTGTACATGGATATGTATGACTAATGCAAAGTGAGGGTGTTCCTAGAGACTCTGTGGCCTAGTTTGCAGAATGGGTAGCCTCTCAAAACATAAAAAATGGACTCTTGGGGATGAAATTAAAGGCTTTTGTTAGTTCAAGTAAAGATATATTTTGGTAGAAAAGATACCTATTTTCAGTTACCCGAGATGATTATTATTTATCCCATGGACCAGCCTACTTCAGTTAGCATAGATTCTTTTTTCAAGGTTAGTGAACAAACATGGGGAAATACCCTACAGAAATAAATGGTACAACCAGGAGCAAGTCCTGTCTTCAGACCCTCTGTTTTCTCTTGTGTCCATGAGGTACAAGAGAATACAAAGGACGGTTCAGTGACTATTCAAGTTTCAGTTCATCTGCCACAGTTTCCAATCAATCACAGCAGCTGGAGGGACATTCTTGTTAAAAATGAAATTCCAGAGGAAGTTTTGTACTTTCGTTTTAGATTGAATTACTGAGCAGCATTAACTTCACCCTCAACAACCAGAGACAGTGAATTGTTCCTGAGAAGTGATCTGAGGTCTGACAGACCGGATTTTGCAAGTGGATCCTTCACATTATGATAGAAAATGAAAAAGTAGCAAATATTAAAGAGTACATTATGTATATAGTTAAATTGCACTTCTGTTGTTGATCTCATATGGGTTTTAAGATGCTTAGCTGTTTCTATTCTTTCATTGTGCCTACCAGATGTTCAGCTTTGTAAAATTTCAAAGCATGGGTTTATATGTAGTTTAAAATGTGAGAATGTAGTAATGAGTATTTTACAGTACATAAAAACATTGCTCAGGAATAGTCAGAGAAATATTTTTAGTGGGGTTTTTTTCCTAGCCTGCTGGAGACCAAATACGAAATTTTAAATTGGTAAAGGCAACAGATGTACAGTATTATATTTCCATATTCATTATTTGTGAAGTTACAGTTAAAATGAATTGTAGTTGCATGTACATTCAGCTCTATGCAATTAAAGTGAAACAATCTCACATGCTCACAGATCAAATAAATCAGCTGTGTCAGAGGTGTGGTGAAAGTCAAAGGATGGTATTCAACACCAGCAACTGTAGAGGACCAGCACATTCCATTGTTCCTATTTCATTCTTTTGTTCCAGACTCATCATCTATTTCAGCTTTTTTTAGATGAAAGGTTCTTGCATCCAGTACTAGAATTTCAAGCTGTGGCCAAATTCTGCAAGCCTTCATTAGTCACGTTTTTGATTAACAGTAGTGACAGGTAGTAGGCCTGCTCTTGCCAGTAAGCACTACTGTAGTGCATGATTTTAGCACACTGTTCTAGAGCACTGTTACAAGCACCAAAAACAAGGTGAGCAGGCTCAGTAGTCAGAGTAGCAAGGTTTTTAAACAAATTCTGTTAGATGCAGTTAATTTAGCATGTTACAGCACTGAATATTAGTGTGTGCTAAATTTTCCTCTGAAACGTTACTCTATATTGATGCTTTCCTAGGTTATAAGGAGGGTATATAGATACAGGCAGATTTTGCATGATCACTTCTTAAAGAACAAATAAACAGTGTTGCAAGTCCGAGTTCTGGTTCATCATTAAGCTCTGACTGTGATCTGGCCAAGTAAGTTTGTCTCACATGATAATCATACAACACTAATTTTTGTTCATTAATTTGATACTTCCATAGTCGTCTTGGTTCACATACAGAAACAGCTTCTAGACTGAGCAGACATGCAAGGGTTGGATTTTATCCTGCCGCACTTTTGCTTATGTTTTAACTTGATAATGTTCTGGGCTTATAAAGAGCTCTGCTTACGAATAGGACTCTGCTTTAGGTTTCCTTCATTTTGTATTGATGGACATTATCTTTACAAGCACTTCTGAATACAGCAGAAAAGTTTATTCCATCAAATACATTCAGCTTGGAATTAAAGTACTTCCACAGGACAGTATTTGTGTGGCCATTTATATTTTTTCACTATGTTTAGCAGTATGATTGTATGTGTGTCTAAGCCTAGCATTTACAATGCTTCTTGAAGAACAATTTACTGTGATGTGAGATATTTAAAGAGTGGTTTATTTTTTTTTTCTAGATAATTTAAGGGTTTAATGTTCTGCAGTACTATACAGAACAAATATGCTCAGGTTGCATTTTAAATAAATAGCCAAATTCTATGTCAGTTATATTAGTATAAACTTTGAACAACTGTAGTGTTTTCAATGAAATTACCCGGTTACAAAGATGTGAAGAAACAGAATTTTACTCCAATATGTACAAACTGTTTTCCTTAGTAAAGTTGAACTGTATTTTTAATGCATAACTTGAAATTTAAAACATTGTTTCTCTCTTGACATGGTTCTTTTTCTCCATTACTTGCATTTCTGCAGTGAAATAATGTGATCAGTTAATGTTTTATCTCCCTTGCACCCCCTGAGACCTTGCAGCTTTCAGTTATTTACAGCGGTTCTGAAGTTTCTGCACAATGTCTCCAGGTCCTTGCTGTGTTACCAGTACAGGTATCAAGCTTCTGCAGTGACTGAGAATTTATGCACCCAAGAGGGTTATCGCTGTGTGAGCAATGCCTACAATTCTGGGAAGAGGGGCTTCACGTCTTCCCCAGGTGGAAGAGCCTTGCAAAGGAGACTCAAGTCAATCCGTGCTGCTGGTTCAGTATCGATCAAGAGGTGGCCCCTTGTTAAAGCTGATAAGGCGGACCGTGTTTTTCTTCCCAAATGAGAGATTACATTTGCTGGTACAAATTCATGGGTGATAGTGCTGCTCACAGAGGTGAAAAGGCTCAGCAGTGTTCGTTCTGACAAATCTGAGTTCGGAGCAGATGGGCTGCCACAAGCAGGGAGCTCATCTCCCACTGATGCCCCTCTCTCAAGATGCTGTGGCCATAGCTCTCAGCCATGCCCCAAGTGCTGCCATGCCCCTGGTGACCCGCAGAAGAGGGGTGTGATGCTGCACGGGGTGGTTGCACTTACTTAATTGGACTAAACTGCCTTGTTTGACTCCAGACTGCTCAGTTCTGCTGTAATCCCGCTATTGCTTGTGTGCTTTCTGTATTTCATTTATTGTTGTTTGAGGTAACTTTTATCTTGTATTCGCTGTTTAAAGGATCTTGTTAGAAGTTTGAGAATGTTTTGACAGAGTTTATTCAGTCAGTATGTGATACCTTTTTTGGAGTTGATATAGTTGAAATTGCTACAGTATGAAATTCCCTTAATGTACTATTTTTTGCCTTATTTTAAAGGTATTGAGCCTTTGTTGCTCCCGTTGGCATTAGTGGGTTTTCTTCTGAAAAATAAACAGACTGCTCTGTCTAGAAAGACTGGAACTCAACTGAGAACTTGCAGCCCAGCTTTTGATATTGGTGATCATGTGTTCTTATTTATTTTAACTTTTTGTGGGTATTTTTGCCAGTAATTTCATTGGAAAGTGATCTTGTCATTCAAAGTTACTATATATTTACTATATTAAAAATGCAATACTATTTGTTACTTGTATTTTTTTCATCACCCACAAGATGGCACCTCTGAATTTTTCTTTTAGAGAACCTCTGCCTTACATTGTAGGATAGAGCTTGTGGCTCAGCACCTCTCAGCTATATTGCTGCTGATGGCCAAGCTGGGCAATTTAAGCTGTGTGATTATTTCTTCTCCGTCTGGCAGCCACTTCTGTAATGGCTGTGTTAAGGCATCATAATAGGTGAAAATAACAGGAAAAACTTACTTCTTCATATTTATACCTTCTCTTTTAAATGCACTAATCAATGAGTTTCACATTCTCTATTGTAATCTCCAGGACACTCAGAACATGATCCAAAGAACAAGACGTGCTTGCAGAGAGCCACATATCCATGCTGCTAGTATATGTGAAGAAGTATGTTTAACTTAATTTCACACACAGTGTGTTCATACATTCAGATGAGACTAATCAAGAGGAAAATTAATGGAGAGAGGAAAAAAAAGGCATTTCCTGTTGCTGAAAATCCCTTTGCTTTCCTATTCTTGTAATCCTAATATCAAGCATTACAAAACTCTTCTGTGAGCTTATCGCACAAGTATTTTACGATCAGAATGTTCTGGTTTCCCACAGGGATGAGGGCTCTGGCTGCATGGAAGACACCATAAGTCCCCCTAAGGTGCCTCTGAGAATGGTGGCTCCTTTGTCCCTCAGTACTAGGCTCAGGTCTCCTGGAAACAGGTTTCCAGGCCCTCACTAGGGATACCAGGGTGTTCATGCCTGATGTATCACACTGGTGCGTAGTGTTGGCCATACTAATTTGATGATCCCTCACAGTAACTCAGTGTATTTTCATGAGTATTTATGTGGGTTTCGTGGTCCTGAACTGGGTTGTTCCAGGGATAGATACAATTTAATCCAACGCTGTCAAAACTGGATCAGTATGTTTCTGTGAAGCCAAATTTCCCCTAGACAACATACCAATGTTTTCTAGCTAGCCACAGCTCTCACAATGACCTTTTTGTTTGTTTGTTTTTTTTTCACAAGGTTCCTACTGGCAACAGATTTTGTCATTAAACTGAAACCTGCAGTTTAAGACAAGACATCCAGAAGGGTTTTGAGCTCTATTCTCTACAGAATGTCTGTGTTTATTGTAAAGAAAGCCTGGAGGAAATTTTGGTCTACATCAGTAGGTGACTGCCATGTGTCCTGTTCATAAGTACATCGTGACCACTAGGAAACTCTCAACCTCTGTGTTACAGCAGGCAAAGAAAATGTAAACTAGTATGTAGGAACCCAATTCCACAATCCTTAAGACAATAGTTAGGAGCTAGGATTACCTGTGTGAGTAGGCATTATAAAGTTCTGTTGTCATGTTTGGTGCAATTAATGAAAAGGAATGCAATAAATTTAGAGGAAGAAAAGTATTTAACTACTGGAAATTATAAAGAATGCCTACAGTTGGTGACTCCATGTACACTGAGAAGTAGTACTCAGAAGAAGAAACAGTCCCTGAACCAAATAAGCTGGAATGTAACTGGAGAAGGCAGCATAAGATAAATTGATGTAACAGAAAGATAATTGGACTTATTTGTATCTGAAAGAAATGTTAGTAGGTAACTTCATGCTGGTCAAACCTGAGATACTGTGTCTGGCTTCTGGGATGACCTGTACGCTAATGAGACATACTGAGTAAGACACCTTCATTACCATCATCCGGACAGTGGACAAAATACTGGGTCAGGTAAGAAATGAATGCTGAATCTCTCCTTTGTCAAGCTGGCTTTTAAGAATAGGAAAAAAGACTTGCAAAATTGGGAAGCTGTTATGGCTTCAGCTACTCTCTCAGACCACATCAAAGAAGCGTTAACAATTGTCAGCCAAGAGTATGACATGCCTGGAAGGTCCACTCTACTCTGCAGAGATGATGAAGTGATTTTGGCATATTCTGAGCAGACTTAAACGTAAGTTCTGATATTAAGGATCTTTTATTTAGTATGCAACAGAAAAAACAGGTCTACTAGGCTAGAAATTCCAAAGTTCTGTATGGAAATAAGCCAGCTGCACCAGCAAAACACTCCTTTTGCCAGTGGTCTCTTTAAATCCAAGGTTAATGATAGTACAGTGCTGTGTGGATCAGACTTGATGATCAGATCTTTAATTTCTATAGGACACAGACTCAAAGAGAAAGTGCACTTCTACTCTTAGTGTGACTGTAACCACATAAAGACCGGGGGTGTCTGCACCATCCTTGCCTTCTAGCATAAACCAGGCATTTATTTAGTGCTTGCAAGCTTGTGCTGGCATCTGGTGGCGGTTAGTATTATCACACTATTTAGATCATTATTATAAATAATAATCTAAAAGATTATTAGAAATAGATTCGGATTTATTAGAAATAGATTATTATAAATAAGAATCTAAAAGCTAAGAAATTGTTGATAGAGGACAAGATATGGTTATTCCTTTCATTCAAATAAATTTGAACTTGAATAAATTTGTATTCTCTAAATTTGTTACAAGTGACCATGATGAGAAAATTCTCCTATTTCCTCAAGTACCATTCATAAATCAGATGAAATGGTAAAGGATAGCATCAGATTTCCCCATATGGAAACCACAGATCTGTTACTTTTAAATTCTGTGGTTTGTACATGTCTGAATGTGTGCAGTTGATCTATGCTCAGTTATAGCATGATGGCTATCCGGGTTACAATATGTGAACGAGGAAAGAATAGCTCAGAAGATAGTATTCAGCCATTAGGTAAGTTATACATGCAATACAAGATGGAATTAATCACAAATCTTACTTCTGCTCTATTACAATTCTGTGCTAAAAGAAAAATGCTTTGCTTAAGGCAAGCACTAAGTCTGGTATCTAAGGTACTGGTTTTCTGTTACAAAATTTACCTAATAAATTACACTTTTGCGCAGATATTATTAACTAGTAATTCAAGGCTGGAAACTTCAACCAAGTGTGATAAAAGAAGTTGGCTGAGTGGCAGGCAGGTCAGTTTTCCTAAATGCCAGTAACAAGATCTGTTTACACAACAAATCACTACTGATAAACCGTCCTTAACTTCTAATTCCAGATGGAAGGCTTCAAGTCAGGCCAGGGATGTAGCAGCACTGCTAATAACAATTTTATTGCAGACTATAACCGTATTTTGTAAGGTTCGAACTGTGCCGTGTCCTGCTATTCCTTCTGAAAATTAGAGAAGATTAAAAATAACAATAAAGTATTCTGTGTGTTTATTTTTTGTCTAAGCTTGCCTATAGCACACCACGCTTCTAAACACCAAAACAGGAGATATGATCACACCCACAGTTGCTAATGCCAGAGAAAGCTGTCTCTCTCTTGCATAGGGAAAAAAAAAAGAACTGTTTTAAGGAAAAGCTACTGTAGAGCAAATGAGGATGTTCATTGGAGGTTTTTACAATCATCTACAATGTGCCCATACAGATAGCAGCAGTCATTATCTCACTGTTCAAGAAGACCTATACACACTGAGCTAATACAGCTTCCCAGCATCACTGCAAGAGGTGCACACGACTGCAAGAACTCCTGGGTTGACCAGTCATACACGGAGCTTGCAGCAAAAGAATGGCACTTAGCAGTTGTGCTGTGTGTATCTTGCCTTTCACAACATTGTTACGTTGACCTTTGCAGCAGGTTTTTACAGCGTTTCTTTTGGCCATACCTGAAGAATACACACTCTGCTATGGTCATATCAAACCAGTACAAAATCTGTAATGTATACAGTCTCAGAGCAAACAGTGATGGAAGTAGCAAATTAAACCCTTCATTTTACAGATATGGGACTGATGCACAGAAATCATAAGTCAGCTCCCATCATCAAAAAGATGCTTGCAGAATAGATCTAGATTTTCAGAATCCCCTTTTGGCATTGCAATAATTGTAGTCATATTTCCCATCAAGCCCTGTCATTTATGCAATTACCTGGACAAAAAATATTCCTCTTTTTTTCTCACTAAGCATTTGCAGTCACAAATCTGGTGATGTGGCATTTGAACTCCTGTTAATGATCACAGTTTTCATTGATCTTTTAGCTAACTACGGTAGCTGTATATACCATGGAAGTGCAAAATGTGTGTTCAGTTCATTTAAATGATTGCTCTAATATTTTTTGTGCCTTTTAATAGGAATGAGTACTTTTATGTAGGAATGACAAAGCATGCTATAAACACCTAAAAACCCACTCAAGCTGCTGAAAGCTATTATGATCCCCGATGCCAAAACATGGACAGTTAATCTGCCATGCATCGACTGGGGGTGTCTGGACAACAGCAAAACTCAACAGACGACCCAGAAAGTCTAGTGTCGTAGGTATGTGTCTCCATATGACACTTACTTCTTTCACTATCTGGGCATAAGCTCTGAGTTGAAAATGGAAGTGAAGGAAACCTAAACTAGTTTATTAATCTCCCATTGTCTTAAAACCTAGAAACATCCGCTTGAGACACCAGTAACTTTTAAGTGGAGTTTGGCAGAAGGGAGGCTCAGGCTGATGAGGTACACATCCACTACTAAATTGCTACAGTCATAAAGGTTTCTTTAAAGGCTTTCGAGGGACACAATGATTGCCAAGTAGTGAAAATGAGGTGTAAATCAGCATTTCTCACCTACATCATACATTCGCATCAATCACACTTTTAAATACACTGTTGCAGGGAGCTACTCACTAAAGGGCTCTTTATGGCATCTACATGTCTACATGCATCAGTGAACCACCCACTGAGGGACCTTTCAAACGTTCACATGAAGGTTGATGTGAGGTCTCTGCCTTACCCATACCCCTTCTTGGCCAGTGCCTTGCAGCAAACCTGGGCTGAGGGACAGGACATTTGGTCAAGGTGACTTGCCACATCTCTTCCCAAGGCCCCTCTACCTGGTGCAGACAACTTGCGCATGTCCCACAAACCACACATGAACAGCCAGGGCTCAGGGGGCAGTACCAGCACTGGTGTCAGAGGAGTGCTGTCTACACAAACACATGTATGTTA